ACGGCCACTTTTTACACGTAATGCCCGTCTGGTCCAACTAAGCAGCGCAAAAAAAAAAACATCGCCGATCTGCCACCATAAATCTCCATGTAATAGGCGGCGGTGCTTTCTTTCCACCCCCTCCACCGGTTCGTTCCCAGCCCAGGTCCAGGTCCAGGTCCGTAACGTAACCCACGTCTCATTGCTCGCCTTAGCGCCCGACTGTCGGCTCTGCTCGCCTTTCCTCGTGACCGTCGCGCCTCCACAATCTGGGGAATGAGGGGTAGCTCCCATGTGGCACATTTTTTAGTGCTGAAATGCAAGCCTCTGGACCACTCGGCTTGCCTTCCTGGGAGCCTCGATCCTGCTGGAGGGAGTTTGTCCGGAGTGCGCCACCGGGGGGGCTAAGCAGCACAAGCTTTAGGGCTCCCCCTCTCAGTGGACTGCGTGCTATCGGTTTAGTGCACTAGACTTCTGCCGCGTGCCTGCGAAGACCGCATCGTCGGAGAATCGCGAAAAAAGGTTCCAGGTCGCTTAAGCGTAACCGCACGTTCGACACACACTGACTGACTCTGGCTGCCCAGACCCTTTTTTCTCATTATTATATTATACCTCGTAATTTCCGCTCTCCTGTCCTCCTCTTTTCTCTTTTCCTCTTCATTCTTAATCATAATTTGCAAGCTCTCTTGTTTTCTGACTCTCAAGCACGTTTTTGTCTATATCATAAGGACTTGTTTCTGCCCCCTTTTTTCTCTACACTTTTTTTTCGCCACGCAAGCCACACACTCCGTACTCGCACTTTTTCCGTCTTGCTCTCTCCTCTGCAAGCCCTCTTTTCTCCTATAAACGCAAAATTGCGTCCTCCTGTGAATGCTCTCATCTTTTCTTCCAAAAAGACTTAAAGATAGGAGATTGCGGAAATCAAAGACCATGATTCGTCCCACCTTTGTTGGAGCTATAGATCAGGGCACCACGAGCTCTCGGTTTCTCATCTTTAACCAGAAGGGAGAGGTGGTTGCGACACATCAGCTGGAGTTTAAGCAGTACTATCCTCATCCTGGGTAAGTAAATTTATATGCATGCCACTGTAAGAATAGAAGAAGAAAAAAGGAGATAAGCTTATCATTTCCCCCCCGTTTAGTTGGCATGAGCATGATCCTGAGGAACTTGTCTCCTCTGTAGAAATCTGTGTGGATGGTGCTGTCGAGGAGTTTGAGAAGCAGGGTCACACGCGCGAGCAGATTGTTGCCGTCGGCATCACCAACCAGCGTGAGACGACTGTTGTGTGGGACAAGACCACTGGCAAGGCGCTGCACAACGCCATTGTCTGGACCGATGCTCGATCTCAGGAGCTGGTCCGCAAGCTGAAAAACCGCATTGGCGCTGGTGAGCTGACCAGCCGGTGCGGCCTTCCCCTTTCCACATATCCTTCAGTCAGCAAGCTGTTGTGGCTGCTTGGAAACGTCAAGGAGGTCAAGGAGGCGTATGAGCGCGGCCATCTTGCGTTTGGCACAGTCGACTCCTGGCTGGCGTTCAAGCTGAATGGCGGAACAACTCGCAACATCCACGTCACAGACCCGTCCAACGCTTCACGGACAATGTTTATGAATCTGGAGACACTGGACTACGACGCAGAGCTCATTGATTGGTTCCGCTTGGACCGAAACAAGATTGTTCTGCCGAAGATTGTGCGCTCATCAGATACCGAGGCATACGGCTCTTTGGCCACCACTTCATTAAAGGGCACTAAGATCGCAGGATGCTTGGGTGATCAGTCCGCCGCATTGGTTGGCCAGAAGGGGTTCACAGCCGGTCTCGCCAAGAACACATATGGCACCGGTTGCTTCTTGCTCTACAACGTCGGCCCCAAGCCTGTCATCTCAAGCCACGGTCTCCTGACCACAGTTGCTTTTGACTTTGGCGAGGGCAAGAGGATGTATGCGCTGGAAGGCAGCATCGCCGTTGCAGGATCCAGCGTCCAGTTCTTGAAAGACAACTTTGGCTTTATCGAGTCATCCTCGGATCTCAGCGCCCTTGCCGAGGAAGTAGAGGACAACGGAGGCTGCACGTTTGTCACTGCCTTTAGCGGTCTCTTTGCCCCTTACTGGATTGATGATGCGCGAGGCACCATCTTTGGCATCACATCTTACACTAAGCGTGGCCACATTGCCCGCGCTACCCTCGAGGCCACATGTTTCCAGACACAAGCCATTTTGCGAGCCATGGAAAAGGACAGCGGAAAGCCGCTGGCCGAGCTTGCCGTGGATGGTGGCATGTGCAATTCAGATTTGATCATGCAGGTATGTCAAGCTAAAATTTTATGAAGCAAAGATTATCGAGCATATTGAACTAACTGTTTTTATAGACTCAATCTGATTTCACTGGTATTGCCGTGAACAGACCCGGCATGCGCGAAACAACAGCCCTTGGTGCTGCCATCGCCGCAGGACTGGCCGTGGGTGTGTGGAACAGCTTCGATGACCTAGAAAAGGTCAACAACGATGGACGAACCATCTTCAAGCCTGCAATTTCAGCGCAGGAGGCGGGCAAGAAATTTGCCCGGTGGGAGAAGGCGGTTGAGATGAGCAGGGGATGGCTGAATGAAGCATAATAGCATAATGAACATAATGACTACCAAATACTGTTAAATAGTTGAGAATTAATATACTGCGAGCGGTTTGCGTTCTTTTACAACTATCGGCCGAGATCTTAAAGTGAAAATGACATATATCATACTTGTATCTACGACGCATGCACGCATAACCTCCATCATGCTTTGCATCGTGCATCATGCATGCATTGTGCCTTGATGATACGCTGAAACGGTCTGCCCGTGTGCCACACAGCTTTCAGCTGTAATCTCAAATGCAGGCACCGCGGCTCGGGATATCACCAGCTGATACGAAATTTTGTCTTTGCCTTTTTTTTTTTTTCTTTGCACGTGTAAGAGGCTTGACTCGTGAAATAGGTACCGAGCATACGGCTTTCGTGGATACCCATTTCCCGGAAGATCACCGAAAGCGTGCCTGGGCCCTTGTGGATTTCTGCCCTCAAAAAAGAAACATCAAATTGCACATTTGTGTCTAAAGGCCTTTTTCGGGGTTCCTTTTACCGGCGCTCTTGAGCGGCGCGTGGGGACGGCTCGGTTTTGCAAAAGCCGACACAGGACTTTGTGGAGACGTCCAAAGCGGACCGTTCTTAACGAAGGCATCGCTAGGTTTAGTTGGAAGCTATGGAGACATGGAAAGGGCTCCGTTTTCTGCGTATAAACGGAAGCAGTGGGCGCTAAAAACGTCCGTGCAAGTATCCATTGGAGGTCATGCTGGAAGAGGAGTTTTTTCCCTTGCTCGCCCAGAGAAGTATCGGATGATCGCTTTCCTTGTATGGTATAGAGCGCAATTTGCTTATGCCCGCTAGCGAGCATGACGATCCGGGGTCGCGTAGAAAAAGAAGCTTCTGGGGAAGAGAAGCTCCATATTCTTCTTTGGCGACGATTATTTGCCTCTTTCGAGACGGAGGTGGAAAACGGTGCAGGGAGTTGTTGCCCAAAGTGGCAGCATGGTTTCTATACGCTGGCGAGAAGAGGCTCAGTTTACCGATTTTTAATAGCTTCTTCGAAATTGTGCGCTCTGCCGTGCTCACGGAGGAGTTATACGAGAAGGGCTAGCTAGGCCCTCAATTGCGGGTGGTATTAGTAGTAATTCTCACCACTTTTGCGTCCCGCCGGACAAGGGGGTGTAGCTATAGCCGGTGCTTGTGTGCGCTAGACAAGAAAGAGATCTATCTAGGAACTTGATGGGAAACCCCGGAAGCGAAGTGCTGCAGCTTAATGGCTGTTTTGTGAGGGGGTTGGAACATGCGGAGAGAGAAACATGGGTGATCCGATGGAGAGAAGGAGACGAGACGAGGGGAAAAAGAAGAGGAGTAGAAGGAACAAGAGGGTGTGAGAATGATGCGTTTGGGAGGCAAAAATGGGTGTCGTGGAGCTTGGCTCGTGATGCCCTGCCCTGCTCCGGAGCATATATCCTCGGCAATTTGTCATATCAGTGTGTTGAGGCAAGATTATGTAGGAGATTTGGCGATGCCCCTCCCCGCGTTGTGTTGATTTTTGGTCAAAGTCAGATTGATTAGATGGATGGATTGATGCTTGAGAGGCGATGCTGAAAGCAGGAATTTTGGTGATTGCTGGATGCAGTTAACAGCCTGGTGAGGGTGGCGATTGTAGTAGATCGATGATTGATTTGTAGGACTTGAAGCAGGTATTAGTCGGTTTGGATGACAGTTCATGTTTCTGTTCTTGGCGTATGAGGGATCTACGGAGGGAAATCAAGTCTCAAGTGCAGTCGGTGACACATTTTGATGCTCAAAACTTGTTCCTTACCTAAACAAGCACTTACTTGAGAGCGGACGAAAGTACCCGAAGCACCGAAAACAAGAAGTTGGATTTCCAATCTACTGCCTACATGTATTACGCTTTGATTCAGAGCTCAGGCCAATTCAGCTCTGTCTGATCTCATCGTGTCTTATCTCATTCTCCATCTCCATGCGGTGCGGTATGCTGTCCGCCAGTCCGTCAATCAGCGTCTCGCTCTGCTTGCCCGAGCGCCCCAATTGCTTCGGGACTTATAGCGAGCACTTAGTAATAGCACAGGGATTCGATGCTCTAATCTGAGGCTAAACGGGACTGGAGAATTGATGAGCAAGGCCAGCAGCATCTGCACGAAACCCCTGCCGCCATGAGCCCTGGAGCCGCACCAAGTACAGCGCGCGAAGAAGCCTGGAAGGCCACTAACGGGAACATTGAACCTCCAAGTAAGCAAATACGCCTAAAGAGAAACGGGGAGTTCCCCACCTCCGAAACCGCGGCAAGCCACATAGACAGCAATCTGCAGCATCAAACCACCAAAAAAGCACTGCTGGGTCGCAGGCAAGTCATATCGCCCCCCCCCTCTAAGGAATGACGAGATAAACACCTTTTTTCCCTGCCTAGATCACGGCGTTTGTTATCAAAAAGTCTCCGGATGCGCGACACGGAGGCGACAGGCCCGGCAGCGCCCCAGACAGGCCCGGCGGCGGGTGAGAGCCAGCAACGAGAGCAGCAGCAGCAGCTGTGGAATCATGCCGAGCCTCCACCGCGCGCTGGCCTCTCGCTGTCCGTGGCCGAGGACGAGGCAAACTCGGCGTCGAGCCACGATGAGGGCTCCAGCGCGGATGAGACGACGCCGGCGGTAGCCTCGTCGGAGCAGAATGGCTCGGGCGCGACCAAGAAGCGCAAGAGGACCAAGTACCAGAAGACATCGTATGTTGATCATTGTCGTTCCGTTGCCCTGATTGCCACTCCTCTGCCTTGTCTTATCATTCATTGCCATGTCGTTTTCGCCGGTGTTTGCGAATCAACATGGCAACATCAACTCCACAAGCCGTCTCTCAGCCTGACTAATCTGACTTGATATCACCAGATGCGAGCTCTGCAAGGCGCGCAAAGTCAAGTGTGACCGCGCCGAGCCCGCCTGCTCGTGGTGCGCGCGGCATAACCGGACCTGCGTCTATCTCGAGAGGCAGAAGCCGGGCAGCCGCATCGGCTTCAGCCTGGAGCTCGAGGCCAAGGTCAACCGCATTGATGCGCTGCTGCAGAGCCTGGGCCGCCGCGTTGAGGAGCACATCGCAAACGATCACCTGGCCGTTGCGCAGGCTCAGAGCCTGTCGCCGGCTCTTACTAACCATCTGCCGTCTCCAGGCGATGGCTATCATCAGGATGCCTCGAGGCTGGGCCACGCGGGAGCGGCGAGAAGCACTCCTGCGGCGAGGCCAAGTCTTGCTGCCCCCGTCTGGGATGCGAATGGCACCGAAGAGTATCAAGACGGTCGAGTGCCGTCAAGCAACTCGGTCTCCGCAAGCAACTCCCACGCTCAAACTTATCCTCCCTCAGGTTTCTCAACGTCTCGGAGGGGCCCCTCATCCATCAGTGCCGCTAATGACCTTCCCCCCCACGATATTGTCTACAACATTGTCGATCTCTACTTCAAACATTGCAACCCCTGGTGCCCTATCCTGGACCGCAAATCTATATTCGGCATCTTTTTTGGCTCAACGTCTCTAAGCGAGCCTGATCGAGTCCTTTTACACGCCATCGTCGCAACGACTTTGAGATTCTTAAAAGATCCTCGGCTGTCTCCGGAAATGAGGGCCCACCACCATGCGGTATCGAGGCAGATTGTTCAGATGTACGCCATGGAAAATGTCACCATTACAGCTCTAAGGGCTCTGGTAATCCTCAGTCTGGACGAATTGGGCACGTCGAATGGACCCAAGGGATGGAATATGCTCTCGCTTCTGGCGCAGAATGTCAAACAGCTCGGACTGTGCGAAGAAAGCAGCGTGTATTTGACCGTTCAAGCCGACAATGTGCCCCATACGGGATCGATACGGCGAGTTGTTACTGGACGGCCGGATTCGTGGATTGAGGACGAAGGACGTCGACGGATCTGCTGGATGGTATATCTGCTCGACCGATACGCAACAATAGCGACGACGACTTTCGACTTTATGCTGGAGGATAGGAAGATGCACCGGGTTCTCCCGTGTTCGTATGACTTGTTTTCCAGGAATGTCCCGGTCGAAACGCGTTCTTGGGTTTCGCCGTCTCAACAGTATGGCACCACTGGGTTTGCGGTGAATAAGCCAGAGAATCTAGGGAGCTTCTCTTACCACTGCGAGATTTTGAGGATACTCAGCAAAGTTCATAATTTCCTAAAGACGCCCGTCGACATAACATCATCAGCCGACGTAGCCAGCTGGCGGAACACCTACCGATCACTAGATGGCGCGCTGGATGGCTGGTTGAGGAGTCTGCCAAGCGACTATAGCAAGATATCGGCGCTGTGTCACTCTGACCCTGGAAGCCGAGTAGCAAATTGGTTCATGTTGCACGGTGCATACGTCACGTCAGTGGTGCGACTGCATTCCTCTGCTGCATATCCTACGGTCAGATCACACCTCTTCGTGCCGTCGTACTACGCAATGCAACGGTGTCTATCTGCGGTCCAGAGCCTGGCGGATATTGCTCGGGACGTTTTTGAAGCAAGTGGTCTGGATAACCTCGGCCCTCCTTTTGTGTTTGGTCTCTGGGTTGCTGCCCGTCTGTTGCTTGTCCACGCAGCATCAATAGGCTGCCCTGTCGACCCCAAGATTGAGTTCTTCATCGAAATCTTGAGCCACATTGGACAGTACTGGGAGGTTGCCAACAACTATGCCAAGATACTATCCAGAGCTGTCCAGAGAGGACGGCAGGGAGACATGAACTTTACAGCTATGCGCAGGTGAGTGCTTATAATATAAATGCGCCAGTGATTCCATTTGCTACGTCCCCTATGCTTACATCACTTTTAGGAGCGCACATGATTTAGCAATCTTGACGTCGTCAACGAGAGAGTCGGGCGCGGAACCTACATCAACGCAGGTGACGTCGCTGAGCGAACTCGACAACATTGACATTTTTGATTTCTTCAACTATCCGAAATTATCAGAACCAAGGACAGGAAATGGCCAAGCATGGCAGACTCAGGGCGTTAATGGATTAACGGGAGAGTCAATGAGGATGCCAGATCCGGAGTCGGACTGGCTAGGGTACACTTCACAATATCAGTAAGCCTTCAGAGGAGGGAAACAGATGATCTGATCGGAATCTTTTGACGGAATTGTTTTTAGCGCGACTGGGTTTTGTTATGAGCAGCGATACCAAAAGCAACAGAATTGTTATGTTATGTATGTGTGGTTTAGGGCGTTGCGAATTGAAGAGTTGGATTTAAGGGATATCATTTTGTGGAATATATTCAGTCCCGAGATGTGCATAAATATAGTTGCTGTTGTATATTTCACTATGTCTGATGCTTGCGTGGCGGCTGTAGTATTAAATATTGTCTATTGTGTCAATAATGATTGTCCTTTCGCCGGTAGGAGTAAACTCCAGTTAATCGCCATTACGAGTATGCTTTGTAGGTGATTGTATAAGATCTTGCAAGCCATTGTGCTTGTTTAATGTTCTATTAGTCTATATATACTGCCATTAACGCGTCTTCTTCCGTTCTTCTTTTTGCCTTTAAATTAAGAATAACAATAATGATTACAGCGCTGTGGAATAAACACAACCCGCAAACCTTGACATCTGAAAGTAGAGAAAAACGGCTTACATATATCTTTTGTTACTCAAGAACTCAAATATGGCCGCTTCAACAACTGCGAGCCCATCGTTACGCAACTATTACCTAGCCGCCGCCAACAGGGGCAATGTCGCCAAAGAGCTTCTCTCGCTTCATGAGGAGCCCGGTTATCATATGGACGCCACCTCCCACACATACGGGGATGAATGCCTTTTGCATGGCTTTTGTAATAGCTAGAATAGCTTGCTCTCTTAGATCGCCAGTAATCTCTTCAAAAATCGTACTCTGAGCCCCGGCAATGGCGTTTTGAATGTCTGCGGATGTGAAGTTGAACGCGCTGCCTGCCAGCACTTTGGTCAAGTTTTGGGTGGCACTGGTTTGGAAGATCTGACCGGCGATAACAAGAGAAATGACAGAGCCGCCGATTTGTGAAACGTTTTGCAACGCAAGTGCGTCACCCATGTGCTTGGGTTTCACTTTGAGTGAGGCGACTGCATAACCAATCTGGAGAGTTAGGCCGGATCCTACAGCTGTTATGACGGTAAAGCCATATATATAATTCGTAGGGGTGTTGGGATCAAGATAGGCTGTGAGTAATGCGCCGCCAAGGGTGATGAAGAAGCCGGCGATGACGTAAATCGGCATGTAATATCGGACTTTGGAGAGAAGATAGCCGGCAGCGAGGTTGAAACTGACGGTGAGAATGACGAATGGAAGAAGTCGGATGGCGGCCTCGATAGCCGAGTCTCCGTGGACGAATTGGAAGTATATGGGGATGAAATAGACGATGACAAAAAGGGAGGTGATATTTGATGATGTTGCGATGTATAGGAGGACTTGAGAGCGAGATCGTAAAAGATGAATTGGAAACGAACGATTTTCGGGGGTGGTCAGGATAGAAAAGGTTTGTTGAATGGCAAAAATGATTAAAACAGCCACGAATACCACAATCGTGGCTATGGTTCGGCCATCGTTCCAAGCCCACTGGCCACCTGCCATGGTGAACGCCAGCGTAAAAGAGACCCAAGTGCTGGCACCAAGAAACAACCCAAGAAAGTCAATCCGTTTGACGCGTTCAACAACGGAGGTAGTGGCGCCCTCAGCTACATGAATGGATGGGAGGCCAAAGAGATATACCGGAGCAAAAGCAGCAGCGATGATGAGGTTGATGTAAAAGGCCCAGCGCCAAGTAGCACTGGATTGGACAAAGGAGCCTCCAATTACAGGACCGAGGACAGCGCCTATGCCCCAGCAGAAGCCCGTTCCAGTGATGTATATTCCCCTCTCCTTGGGCGTCGTCAAGACGGTAAAGTAGTTTAAGCATCCCATGAAGACGCCACTACCGCCAGCTCCAGCAATGACTCGTCCAACAATCAAGGCAGACATGCTCGGAGCTGCACCGCAGAGTGCCGAACCAGCTTCAAACAGAACTGTAGACGCGAGGAACACCCACTTTATATTGTAGTTTGTGTATAATTCGCCGTATAAGAGGATGACGGAAACGGAGCCGAGGGGAAAGCCGGCGCCGATCCAAGCAAGCTGCTCAACATGGCCAAAAGCCTCGACAACTGAGCTTTGAACATCAGCGGCGATGGTGGTGTCGAGGCCGTAGATGAAGATGGAGACGTAGAGGGCGACATTGATGAGGATCCAGCGGAAACCGTGGATGGAGCGAGATTCGGTTGTAGTTTCGGTGGAAGCAGAGGAGGGGCACTCGTCGGAGGACGCTGGTATGGCCTCCTTTTCGATGTTTGGCGTATCTAGATCCATGGCAAGGTGAGGTGACTCAATGGATTGATGTGTTTGAGTGTCAAGCACCTAGTGGTAACGACAAGACAATGAAAAGAGTGTATGAAAAGAAAGCGTTGAATATATAGTATAGGGGGAAAAAATCCTTTAGCATGTTCTTTGACAAATTTCAGCTCTTAGCTACTATCACCGAAAACTACATCTCTTCCTTTATATATCTCCGATGTCAACACTTAATTCTCCGCATTTTCCTAAACTGGCAATTTTTCAGCTCCTCTCATATCTTCGTCTTACAGTTACGTGATCAAGCCCCTCAACATATCAAATGAAGAATTGGTAATCGACAAACATCCATCCAAAGCCTTTTTGGCGGTTTCGAAACCTATTTCCATGCCAATATGCCATACACTAACTTGAGCGCAATGACACGGCAGCCAATGAGGCGAAGTTATCGCACCCCATAGTCTAGTTGAGAGGCAGGTTTTTGCGCCGAGATTTTTTTGGGGGGCTAGGCCTGGTTGGTGCTTAGCGGGCGGGATAGCAAAAAGTTGCCCTGAGAGGAGCGCCTTATCGTTGGTTTCATGATGGGATGAAGCAGAGATGGGATTGTCGTGCATCTTTTTGCGAATTTTCATAGGAGCTTGGTTGATTACTTCAGAATTTACGTCGGAAATGGGGTATCCAATTACTTAAGGTTCATTGGATTATGCTGGCTGAGAAATGAGAGTTGGCTCTATGAGAGGCGTCTTTACATGGTGCTCACATAATAAACGTTACTTGTATGCCCTTTTATTAAGCATAACTTTGGCAGACAAGTATATGCAGGTCGTCTTACTTTGTAGTCCTATTCGAGGCTAGCATCTTGATTTCCAAGCCGGCGTCTAGCTTTCTTCTCCCCACGTGGCTCATATGCCCTGTCAGAGATTTTATTGCACAATTTACATACCTATATCAATCGAAATTGAGAACCCTTTTCTTATTTTTTACTATGTTCCCAATGATCGATTTGCTAAACACATTTGGCAGAGTCCTTAGAGGGCCACGGAAGCTTAGTGTACTAGTTCGTGTATTCCTATATAAAGGGTTATTAAGATGAAGAATAGGGAAGAAAGGAAAGGAAAGAACAGTTGAATCCAATTGAGTCAGCGAAGTAGAGTGTTCTTAATATGAGACATTGGATATTATCTAGACAGTAATTGGTTGGGAGCTCGAGTGATAGGGAGTGTATGTAAGCTGTGGCTAACTTTATTTCGCTTTTTGTGGTGGGCATGCCTGGGCTCAAGCCAAACTCCATTTTATAAGAGCCTTTGCCACAAAGACTTTCGCCGCATTTCAAAGACCATCATTGTTAATTTCAGTCAGGTTCTGTTAACTCCACAAAGAGATATATATCATTTTCTCTGTATATTCGCTTTTGCATGATGCTGAAACTAAGGCGTTATGTACGTAAATGCTTACGACCTATCGATATCCTGGGACCCGTGTCAGTCATAAATGTAACGGTGATTCTTGTATTCGTCCCTTGGAGAGTGTCTTGATGATTCATTTATGTAGCCGCTTAGTAGCCAAGTAGATGCTGATCTGGCAATGTCGAACGAAGTTAACAGGGAATTCCGCGCTCTGTCTCATTGATAAGACTATTGTCAGGACTGGGTAACACAAGAAGAGTGATAGAGGACCAAGTGGGCCAATTGCGATCTTGTTAGTAGGCTGCAGCTAGATCTCATGAAAGGACTATATTCTTTCTAGCCTCTTTTACAGAGCTAGGGAGCTCCGCCCCTTTCATATATCTATTCTTTTATGGCAACTAGGTTCTAACTAGTCATGTCACAGTTTCTTTGTTTTTTGTGATCTGACAATTGTCTTCCCAGCTTCGTAATTTTACTAATGAGTGACTGAGGTAATTAATAAGAGACGAAAAGAGTATACCTTAGACGCTACTTGTACAAACTGGTGCCATGTATGTACAATTAGATTTTTAACATGCAACGTCTATTCATGCCAAAAGTGAGTTTTGCCAAATTTTATTCACAATATATATTAACTCAGGTAATAGAAGAGATGCAGTTATGTAAATCTGACAAGAGTGAGAGGCTACCCTAAGTCAAACATTCATATGTGCAGACAACATTGAAAGCAAAAGAACAGTTGTAGATGAGTAGGAAACTTGAATCAAGTTAACAGACGGATCAAATCCGAAGTGGAATATAACTCGTGTAAATGGAAAACAAAAGAGATAAATCGCACTATGAGTTGACCATTTTTGCCCGGCCTTCTTCTTTGGGACTCTTTGAGAATTGGGTCACTTAATTATCCAACGGACTTGATAAACTACCCCAGTGATCGACACACACACAAAACACAACAAAACTGATTTATAATTCTTCATTCTTCAATGAGAACAGTTTAAAGTCGATTGGCCTCTTAAGGCAACATTATGAAATAATCTCAATTAATTTACGCACTGCTGTAAGGGAGTAGTAGAAACGAGACATTATCACTTCACTCTTTTGTGAGAACAAAGAGTTCTTCGCAAAACGCTATATATCCACAGTCTTCACTGACAAATCAATGAATGTTAATAGACAAACATGAACCGTAGTTACAGTTGTCTCAGTTATTGTGTCTCAGCATGAAACTGTACGCCTCTTAGCTGAGAGTTTGCAAATTTGAAAGGCAGGTCTGAGTTGATGATCCAGTCTGCCAGCCGGCCTGAATGCTTCACAAAGGGTTCAGTTGTCTAAAACCGGCAAAGGTCCAAGTTATGGACCCTAGTTGCTATTCTTCTGTTTTAATAAACGGCCTCATATGCGACATGTCGATCGCTATGTCTAAAATAGAGACGCCAGCTCCAAAATTTATCGTGTTTCAAAACAGCTCCCTGTCTCTCACTTACTCTTAAAGACAAGTACGCCGCAGATCACCCAAACAGGGTCTTCGAGGCACGAGACTGAATTCTGCAAGTGCGCACTCAGACTGATTGACTGACTCGCTGCAAGTTACATTCAAAGCAGGAACGGCAAGTTTCCAGCAAGCCACGTGCTAGTTGATTAAAGTGGCGTTTTTCGGATTGGCAGGCCATCTAGATCACCAACGAGAGATGCGAAAGGGGTGCTCTGTAAGCTGACAGTAACAAAACACACAAACGCGCACATGCACACACAAACCGGGGAGTTCGGAACTTGGCTCGTCGATCGTTTTGCGTTTAGTATACGACTCACGAGAGACCACCCAATTTGCTAAGAGATGACTCTGGCTGTCTGGTGCTATGAACCACCGTACTAGAGGCCCGAATTTTGAAGAGGTGGGCTCTCGGTAGTTGTCTGCTAAAAGGAAGCGCACTTTGACCGAGGCGATCTGGTTCGTCTCGCCGCTTCGCGCTTCGCGTAGCATGCTAGAGAGAGACAGCTCCATATGGCACACCGCCGGATGCTTGGCGTCTCTCGGATATTGAACCGACCATCGAACGGCTCTTGTCTTGGTGAGCCCATTTGCCCATATGGTTTGATGGGTCGGAATGGTCGGTTAGCACACAAAGGCACATTAGGCACCAGAATAAAAAATGCGGGCATCTGGAGCCTCAGCCCCAGTGCAAGCGACAACATGTTGGAATTCTGAGGAGACTCCACGGGGAATGGAGAGCACTGGGGAAATACGACGCAGCACGGCGGAGAAGAAAGGGGTTGAAAAAATTATCAGCATGCGGCCGAGCTGTAAATGCCTCCTCGAAATACTGCAGCCTGGAGCAAGAGAGACGGCGTAAGCGGCGGATGGAGAAAAAGATGGACAGGATAGTGATACGATGGCTCGTGCAGGCTCAGCTCATGCCGATTCAGTGGATTGATTCCATTTGAGCGGGAGAGAGAGAGAGAGGACAGCTGGCTGCGACGAGAATAGCTGAGACTCATGGTTGATCGACATTCGCAGGGAACAAAAGACTGGGTCGACAGCAACGGCGAGAAAACCGGCCAAGCAAGAGAGACCAGAAAGTCACCGCGGACGGGCGTCGTTGGCAAGGCTTGACCGGGCGCGGGTGGCCAAACGATTCATTGTGCTAAAATAGGTTTCAGGATGAAGTCGTTCAAGGGGCGATTAGTGTCACGAGGAGCAATCGATCTACGTGAGTTGGATGGTGTGTGTGGTGGTGTTATGTCAAGTGTGTGTGAGTATGAGCGTGGTCTGTCGCAAGATGGCAGATTGAGCCGAGGATTAAGCGACCAGTAGAAGTCTGGTGCCACTGGTACTGATTTAGCACTGGGAAACTATTGCCGGCGCATCGCCGGTGGGCAAATTTGCCTGAGGCTGAGGCAAGGCAAAGCCTAGGACCAAAACGGAATAAAAAAAACTTCGTCTTCACGATTTCTTCTAGAAAACACTCATCCAAGTTTCATGGCCGTACCCTCTCCTCGACAATTGAACTATTCGATATAACTTCTAAAATCTCTATCCGCCAAGCAACTCAAGCCTCCTGGCGCCCCATATCGCAATGGCAAATGCGACTTGAACGTACTGCAACGACTCCAAGCACTGACTCGGGACCCACGATGACTCCATCTTCGGCGCCTCGCCCACTTTTGCGCCGGCAGTCAATTGGCCGTGGCGCGCACAGGCTCCGGCTGGTCCCATCAGCCTCCATCACGCAGACGTCATCGACGAGGGATCAGCATCAGGCAGAAGCTTTTCGAAGACCCATTGAAGGAGAAAATTTCGCGATGGCGTCGGATCGGTTTTGCACAAGATGCTTCGTCTGACAAGGTCGCAGCGTGGCAAGTAAATGCCTCGCCGATGCAAGGGCAGCAGCAGCAGCAGCAGCAGCAGATGCAAGTCAGGAGGATTGGCGAGCCAAGACAGCGGCGTCTGGATGGGCCACTCGAGCAGAAGCAGTTGTCGATACCTGTGTACAAAGCACGCGACGAGTCTAGTCTACGAGGAGCATCGATCGATACGGGCTTATGTAGGCTTTGCGAGCGGCCTGCCATTGGCACACGCTCTCCGGCCCCCGATCGCATCTTTGCTCCCTGCTAGTTTCTTGTCAATTGCCGTACTCCGACCCCCTGCCGCCACCACTCACAGCGCCGGCCTGGCGCCACTACCGGACAGACATGGACCTGCTTGGCAAACTCGAGAGCGCCTTTGACGTCTGTCGAGGCTAGCCTGGCCTAGCAAACGGGACCTGGGACTAGTTCCTTTGCGCTGGCAAAACAGGGAAATTTGGAGAATGTGCAAAGATTGAGAGAAGTCTGAGCACAGTGGGAAAGCGAAAGTGGCATGTTCGAGGCCATAGCCCATGGTGATGGTATCGCAACGTTGGCATCAAAACAATGTTTGCGGGCAGCGCCGTGCGGTCTAGAACACCGCATGGACAGACAGAAGGGACAGATGTTAGAGAATGGGCTCTTCTCGCTTTTAATCTGGCTGCGTGTCTCTGTTTTGAGCATGGCCGAGAACGTGCGAGGACCCTCGAGGTGCTGGGCCGTCCGTTCGCGCTGATTGAGTCGTGTCTCAGTGTGCCCTCGTTGCTTGGGATACTACCCCATGCAGCCGCAAGCGACCTCCAGCATTCCCCAATTCTCGCTTCTGTTCGGAAAATGCGAATGCTGGGGTAGTCTGTACGTACTTTTTTTTTTTTTTTTTCCCTTTTTTTGCGTGGGCAGCCATCGTCCGCGAACGGCCGCAGAGGCGCTGAGCAGACGACGATTTTCGACATTCTAGGCCTGGGGTACTGTCCGCGTGCGTAATCTTAGCATCTGCATTTACACTCCACGATCTGAGCTCTGCTCGGTTTGGCCGAATACGTTCCAGGTAGTGCTACCACTACTCTGTATAAATCTCCATGGCACGGTTGGATGGGGCAATGGACGTCATGTTGACTAGTCTCGGTGGGTGTGGGTATTCTTACTTTTGCAGCGACATGGTGAGACCCGGAATCCCCATTCTTTTTCTTTTCGCCGCAGGATACCAGGCCAGCTTGTTCTCGGTCTATATGCCATGTTACAATCTAGTCCAGCCAGCTTGAACCCTGAACTCCTCCACGATCTGAATGCAGCTGAAGTTAAATACCCAGGCTTGCCCTCCACAGTAAACTTTTGCTCCCCTCCTTTTTCCCATTCCCATCCTCCGCAGTCTGCCTTCTTCTTTTTCTTCTTATGCTTCTTCTTCCCCGGATCTTCTCTCATCCAATCTCATGTTAGTGGTTCCAATTTTTTGAAGAAGCTGAAGAACAACCTCTGCCGTGGTGCACATCAACATGGCCGCGCCGCACCACACACATTTCTCTGAGGACCCCCCTCAGGTCCTGAATCAAAGGGATCTGGACCTTGCCAATGAGAGGCTCAATGCCAATGGCTCACAAACGGGCAATGGGTCCAGCACAGACAACATCGAGAAGCAGGAAGATGCCAACCTGCCTACTGGCACCGACAACAAGCTGGAGAAGCTGGGTACTTATGATAAGTATGAGATTACGGAAGATGACTGCTACGAAGAACTGGGCTACTGCTATCCCAAGTGGAAAAAGTGGTACATCCTGACCGTCATCTTCTGGGTTCAGGTATCAATGAACTTCAACACCTCACTGTATTCTAATGCCATTCCCGGCATCTCAGAGGAGTTCCATGTTAGCGCACAGGCGGCACGATGTGGTGCCATGATCTTCTTGGTACTCTACGCTTTTGGCTGTGAGCTGTGGGCGCCCTGGTCTGAGGAGTTTGGCCGCTGGCCTGTCTTACAGCTCTCTCTGTTCCTTGTCAACGTCTGGCAGCTTCCTGTCGCCCTCGCTCCCAACTTTGCCAGCATCATGGTTGGTCGTGCTCTCGGTGGTCTTTCTTCTGCTGGTGGCTCCGTCACCCTAGGTATGATTGCCGATATGTGGGAGGCCGATAACCAGCAATATGCCGTCGCATACGTCGTCTTCTCTTCCGTCGGTGGATCCGTCTTGGGTCCCATTGTCGGTGGCTTCACCGAGAAGTATCTCGACTGGAGGTGAGTAACCAACCGAGCAGTTATATCTCTTTACCGTTGCTGACATTACTGTTTTAGATGGTCTATCTGGGTTCAGCTTATTCTGGGTGGATTTGTTCAGATTCTGCACTTCTTCACCGTTCCTGAGACCCGTACCACCATCATCATGAACCGCATTGCCAAGAAGCGTCGTGAGCAGAACAACGAGAACATCTGGGGACCTGATGAGCTTGTCCCATTCCGCGATCGCTTCTCTGCCAAGGAGGTTATCACCACCTGGATCCGTCCCTTCAAGATGTTCCTCACTGAGCCCATTGTCTTGGTGCTTTCTCTGCTCTCTGGTTTCTCCGATGCTCTCATCTTCATGTTCATCCAATCCTTCGCCTTGGTCTACAAGCAGTGGGGATTCGGCACCGTTGAGATCGGATTGAGCTTCATCCCCATCGGTATTGGCTATGTTATCGCCTGGCTCCTCTTCATCCCTGCCATCAAGCGCAACATCAAAGAACGAAAGGCCAAGCCCGATGATGAGCGCGCCCAGTACGAGTCTCGTCTTTGGTTCCTTCTGTACACTGCGCCCTGCTTGCCGATTGGTCTCATTGGCTTCGCCTGGACTATTCAGGGCCCTCCTATCCACTGGATCGGCTCCATGATCTTTGTTGCGATTGTCGGTATTGCAAACTACGCCATCTACATGGCCACCATCGATTACATGATCTGCGCTTACGGCCCTTACTCTGCTTCTGCTACCGGTGGCAACGGTTGGTCTCGAGACTTCCTGGCTGGTGTCCTCACCATTCCTGCGACTCCCTTCTTCACCAACATCGGAGCGTCAAGTGGCAAGAATCTGGAATACGCTAGCACTATCCTCTTCTGTATCGCCTTTATCCTGGTACTTGCCGTGTACGTTATCTACTGGAAGGGCCCGGCCCTCCGTAAGCGATCGCCCTTCGCTCAGCGACTGGCCGACGCTCGTGCTGAGAACGCCAACGAGGGTCGTCGCGGCAGTGCTTCAATTGACCCCATGCGCCGAAGTAAGTTTATATCAATCCCTGTGTTTTCAATATCCAATACTAATTCAGATACAGCCTCTACCTCATCTGGTATCGCTGCTCGACCTCACCCCGACAGGCGATACAGCCAGCAGAACCGCTTCTTTGGCGAGAGCAGAGTTACTCCTCGTGGTACTCCCAGAGGCACCCCTGCTGCTAGTCGTCGCCAGTCTCTTGCTCCCAGTCGTCGCCAGTCTGTTGCCAATGTTGCAAGAAAATAAAAGCGGCGTATGTGTGCGTAATGAGGTATATACAGTTATGGGATAGAATATAGAAACTACGTCCATTATATTGTTCTATTTTTGTTTTTTTCTTATCGCAGAGCGAGTTTGGTCTGCATATTCGCTGCGAATTAAGGGTCTACGTGATTTGTGGGAATTCATTATTTACGTCTTGCTTTCTTTTGTATCTTATACCATAGTCCTTTGGATGAGACGTACTTTATTGATATCTGAACGATAAGATTGTTAAACTCATATTATTTGATCTCGTGGTGCTTTATAACATGGCCTAATCTATTACCCATCTATAGGCCCGCATCTGACGACGATACGAATATAGTGTTGCTGAGATATCACACACGCACTATCGTCTAGGCGATGACTCGTTTGAACTTGCTGTCTACGGCTGAGAGGCGTTCGTGATCCATCTGGTATCAAAAACAGGTTTGCGGTCGGAAGTGGAGACTTTGCTACTAGTCTAGACTTTTTAGCACCTGCGCTTAGATCCTGATGATGCTTCACCAAACGTTGCGTACAAAGGATCATCGTCATCATGTGGAGCCGGCAGATGGCGCCCATCTCGGTCTAATTACGAGTTTACTAGTAACTCTATTGGATTTGGAAAGCTAAGGATTCCAGATTGGGAATTATCAAGTTTGTCTCCCGAGAAGCCAAGGGGATAGATCTATTTGACCCACTATCACAATGCGGTAGAACGAACTCAGATGCAGCTAAAATAGCAGACTGGGTAGTCGGTATCGACCGGCTAATCTCGTGATCCACCTGTTCAGCCTCTTGTTGGAGCTACGGTTCACCCAACAATTATCTAATATGGGAGATCCACCTCTCAAAGACCTCATTGAAATCACTTGGGACCCATATCAAGAGACTGCTGCCTATGGCGGCATTTGCACCACCTCAGAGTATGTCAAGATTTGCGGCATGCTAGCTGCTCAATCAATGTGATGCTACCCAAGCCGGATGAATGCATTGTCTAGGCATCTCACTGTAGACAAGTGATTATAATGTGCAATCTGATTGGATGATATTGTGGATGGATCCTGTTTGTGCAGAAAAACGGTCAATATTTATGCAATATCACCTTGATGAAAATGAGAAGTAAGATTTATAGTGTGTTTGAAAGGTGATTTTGAAGTAAGGAATGCCATGAAGCTGCAAAACGTTCCCAATGTAGCAAGTGGTTACATGAAGAATGGTGTAAGAGATGTTATAAAACCATGCCACTTCCTTTTTTTGAATTGAAGCGCTCACGATTCCCCGAAAAACACTTTTCGCCTTTTTTGTATAATACGCTGCTCATTTCCCGGCTTCAGACGCTCCCATATAAATTACTCCAGTCAACTTCACCATGGCAGATAGCACAAGAGACCTGATCCAAAAGCTAAATGCAGCTGCTGCGATAAAATTTGGCGACGATGACGCTACACGACTAGAAATGGCCATGGCGGCCCGCAAGCTCTATCACAAGTTGGAAACAAATGCAGAAAAAGTCTTGCGATTCATAAATGAAGAGCCTGTCGTGTACCCCGCTATCTATGTTCTTATTGATACGGGGAGTTTGGGATGCTTGGACCGGTAGTGGCGGAGGCGAGAAAAACATTGACGAGCTGAGAGCGATTGCCAAAAAAGATATTGACCCAGAGCTTCTACGTAAGTGCACTAGACAACGTGAGTACTAGTTACTAATTGCTGATATATGGATAGAACATCTTTTACAACTATTAGCTTCAAGCAATATTATCAAGGAAACCGGCGAGGATCTTTTCCAGCCGACGAACTTTTCGCTCTCTCTGGGCGATAAGAGGACTCTCCTTGCGCCAGCACTCCGAGTAAGGTATGCATGCTCAGTACATTGTTTGCAGTAGCTGCGAAAAAGCAAATTGGGATAACCACTTGGTTCTAGAACTGATCATGTTATGCGTCCTTCTATTCACTTTCCCGCATTTCTGGGATCACTGGTGCTGCAGGATTTGCCAAAGGTGATTGCTATGGCTAAGTTTACTACGGATAAAATTAGAGCTATTGGACATAACTTTTTCGAGCCCCAGCCAGTTAAAGGTCAGTTTCAATGCTCGATGCAATTCGCACATGTTACTCTTTGGCGGCTGAATACTGACAGCAGATACAGGCAGTCGAGTATACTTCTTTCACGCTGTTCTTCATGATTGGCCAGACAGCACGGTGGTCAATATCTTGAAGCAGGTCGCAGCTGCGATGAAGCCTGGCTACTCAAAGCTGTTGGTCAATGACATAGTACTTCCACCTGTGGGAGCTAGCATCTATCAAGCCGGGTTGGATTGTTTCATGCTGCAAATATCTGGCAAGGAGAGAACAGAGGCGGTCTGGAATAAAGTGATTAGTGAAGCTGGTATGAAGATTGTGAATATCTGGCCGGATGGACGTGGCTATGAGAGTTTAGTTGAAGCGGAACTGCTATAGATGGGAATATTGTGTATTTTCAGTAACTATGTATAGTGCATGGAGAGTCGACACTCATGTATTGCTGGCAACGTTGAGACAGTCATGAGACATTGTTGAACTATAGCTTCTTCTTTACCAGCAGCAAGACCATTGCGACTTCGCCAGTTAGTGTTTCTTCGCCAGGCTTGATACCAGCTTCGTGCAAAAGGCTTTCTATCCGCCTTCTCAGCTGCCTTACTATGTCTTCCTCTGTCCCGACCTTGTCTGGGTGAGCTTCCCTCCATCGACTGACCGGACTAGAAGTACCCATGAGCTTCTCAAACTGCTCGGGTGTGACTGGGCCTCCTGTGCGAATGATGTCGTTTTCTATGCCTGTCTTATCCTTGTTCCACTCTTTGCGAACGAAGCTCTCTTTATCGAACTCTACTACCGGAACTTCAAGCGTCCAAGGCAGTGGTAGGCCAATGTAGAGATCGCGAGCCAACAAGTTGCCTACCCTTGCCCATGGGCGTAGCCCAATGTAGAACTCTTCTACGAGGGCCTTGATTGCGACCCCGTTCGGCGTCTTTGTAGCGTTGATCGCCGCTCCAGACCGTGCCCAAATCGCAACGGTGCCGCCAGGCTTGAGAATGCGCGATGCTGCTTTCCAGAAACCCGCCATATCGAACCAGTGGGCCGCCGTAGCGGCGGTGACCATGTCAACGCTGCCATCAGAGATGGGCGGCTCCAAGTCAATTCCCAGGGTTTCGGCAGTCGATACCTCAAAGCGTATAGGCAGGTTCGCAGACTTGGCAGAAGCGCGTGCGGTGTCAATCATGCCCTCCGACGGATCCAGGCCGATGGCATTTTCGAAGAAGGGAGCCAAGTCCTTGATAGCCTGGCCAGGGCCGCAGCCGACGTCAACAACGGTGTGGAGTTGGCCGCCGGTAGAAGTGTGATGATCAATGATGATTTTGAAGAGCTCTGGAGAATACCCAGGGCGTACCGACGAGTAATTCTGGCCCTGGGCTGCGGTATACCCACGAAAGATGTCTTCTGTGACTTCCATGGCTGAAGCTCTACAACGAAATGAAGTTGAAAGTTGAGAATGTTACTTATTTAAAAAAGGTTGGACATGCGCCAAAACTTGCAGCCTAATCATGCATTTATACCCTTTGCGAAATGCGCTTCAGCTGCCGAGCCGGAGACCGAAGCTATACTAGACGTTGATTGACCCCTTGAAACTATTTTTAGTTGCCGAATCGGAAACCGAACCTGTACCAAACATTGTTTTATATCTTGACGAACCTATTTTTTTGCCGAGTCGGGAACCGATCTGGCGTTAACAGTCCCCTGTAGTTTTTAGTTACGTCCCGGCGCATCGTAACCTGGTTCCTATTTTGGCATGATTCTAACGTCTTGTTCCTGATCTAAGAGTGCATCGGACTATTAAGTGTTAGCGGAGCCCTTTAGTAACAACTGCTAGTAACTGAGAACCGAGACCCAGCTTACTTAACCTAAACTGAAACAAATAGTTGAGCTATAAGATGTATTGAGAATATTGATAGAAGCGCATTATAGTCAGCGCAACTACTCACTAAGTCTTCAAGTAATTGCCGTATACATTTACATCGTCGTATATACAAAGCGAATACATCTGTCGGCTCCTAGATTCCGATTTATATAGGGCTGGACCCTCGGCCCAACAACGACCTAGCAAAGTTCGAATTCGTGAAAATCTACCCTCAATGTGAATTCTCTCCCAGATTAGTATGCTTTGGAGAGCTACTTTCAAACATGAAGGCACGTAGCTTGTGTGGGAGTAGAAGTGAACTTCTGAAAGGACGAAGATGGTTTGAGGCGAGGCTCTAGGAGGCACATCATTGTTGTCGCCTGTTAGTCAATTACTCTTGCGGCTATTTCATAATGAAATTGAGATCCGGGAGAGATTACAATTGCTGTGAAAATGCGGCGCAGTCTGACGGCGTCGTAATCATGGTAGGTGGCTCAGCTAGATTACATAACATTGAGGATCAATGCCGACTTGGCTCTATCACCTCTACTGTGTAGTGGTATGCAAATTGTAGGATAACTGCCAAGTGATATAGCTTGCAAACAAGGTAGACTTTTCTGTTTCAGTCTAGAAAAGTTTTCATACCAATTTACAATCAGAATCCCTTTGCACATCTACATTCGGACGGCGCATGAGTTAGCTTGCGCTCTTCTGCCTCTACCTTTTATTCTCCCTTTCTTAGCTGTGGGCTTATGTAAATTGAGGTAGTACTCCTACATATAACTATTTTCTCCTTCATCACTTATAAAAAAAAGTGAAAATTCTATTAATCTATGCTCCAACAGAGGCTTGTCAACTCGAGGATAGCGTGCTCACTGCATCTTTTGTCATTGTCGACTGGTTCACCCTGGTTACAGCACGTAATTATCTAAAAATGAGCCAATATTAGAGGCATAAATACAGTCCATATATATAATTGTACATATATATATTTATCCTGGATTTATGAAACTCCGCCGCTTCACTCAAGAAGGTGAAAAAGGGAAGCGACATTCGATGGCCAATATCTACTACCTCGGCACCGGTGGGTTATAAATCCGAGCTATTCGATAAGTAGCATAGTTTCGTGCCTCGTAGAACGGGAACTTGGCTCTCTCCGGAAGGCTACTATTGCCTATTGTGTGATTAGACTCCGCCTCGGGCCTCGCGGGTTCCTTGCAGCTGAATTACCCCGGATCAGACTTATTTAGCTTCTATAGGACTCTCAGATTCGGGCAGTTGTATGTGGCCCGATCCTGTGTAGCACGAGGTTAGCATCACGGTGCGGCGGACATACCCTCTCCGCCTCTACGGTAAGGAACGTAGCATCTGCGGGGGCGATCTTCCTAATGCATTCTTGTGTTAGGAATTTAGGTAGCATCATGCGGAGTTTTTGGGATATAAATTGAGTATATGGTGACGGCGTCTCCCGTTCGATCGAACACGAACAGTAGCCATACTGATACTACCTAAAGTTTTACTTTTGAGTCTCATTCCCTCTATAATCGCCTTCCTCCGAAGTGGGGCTACTCTGTCCTAATGGCGCAAGTTCAAGGCCACTACGATCCCAAATTCGAAGAGCTGCGGAAGGTTTTTCAGAAGAATCTGGATTCTAAAGCCGACGTTGGAGCTTCCATCACTGTGAACATAGACGGCAAAAACGTTGTTGATATTTGGGGTGGATATGTTGATGAAGAAGGTACTCGTCCCTGGGAGGCTGATACTCTTGTAGCGGTCTGGTCATGCACGAAAGGAGTCGCGAGCCTAGCTCTTTTGATGCTCATTGATCGCGGCCTGGTGGATCACGATGCAAAAGTTGCTCAGTACTGGCCCGAATTCGCTGCCAACGGGAAGCAAGATATTGAGATTCGACACCTTCTGTCTCATACGTCAGGACTTTCAGCGTGGGAGGAGAAGATTACCTTTGAAGACTTGCCTGACCAAGACGCTATTGCGGCAAAGCTTGCAGCGCAGGCTCCTCTGTGGGAGCCTGGTACAGCGTCAGGATATCACGCGGGTACTTTTGGAGTGCTGATAGCCGAAGTCCTGCGACGTGTGACAGGCAAAACAATGAAACAGTTTGTCGCTGAGGAGATTGCGGCTCCTCTGAACGCAGATTTCCAGATTGGCCTCTCGGATAAAGATATTTCTCGCGCGAGCAACAGTATTGCGCCCAAAGACACACCACCGACGCAAGCAATGCCTGAACCAGGATCAATTCCATTCAAGACGCTCGCCAACCCATTCTTTACTCCAAACTTTGTCAATACGGAAACAATCCGAAAAGCAGACCTCAGTTCTTTCAATGGGTTTGGTAATGCTCGCGCAATGAATCGCATCTACTCTACCCTAGCTCTCGGTGGTGGAGTGGACGGGGTGCAGTTGCTGTCTGAAAAGACGATTGACCTGATTTTCCAAGAACAGTCAGATGGGATCGATTTGGTGATGGGATTTCCCATGGCTTTTGGCATTGGATATGCGCTCGGAGGACGAGGCTCCGCAAACTTCATGCCAGGTGGGAGAGTTGGCTGCTGGGGAGGGTGGGGAGGATCGTTGTTCATCTTTGACATTGATCGGAAACTCACATTTACGTATGCTATGAATCAAATGTCACATAACATAATGGTTAAAGGGAGAGAAGGGGAGTACGTGAAGGCTGTATATAAGGCTTTGGGAATAGAACTAGAATAGCGGCTATTTGTCAAAGCAATTCCTCACTTGAGATAACGAAGATAATGTTATGAGCAAAAAGAAAGACCAAAAAGATAACTATTTCTAAATATATTACAACGTCTTCATAGTAAAGAGAGGCCTTTCCCCTCTTCGCGCCCTCCAAGAATTGGTCGATCTAAATAGCTCCACGCATCCTCCTAGAGTCCAACCCCATTTCTGGTAGAATTCTTCTGTTACCTCCCAAGATGCTACATCGCATGGGTCTCCCCAAACAATAAGACCGCCTTCTTTCTGAGCAGCATCTAGCCCAACCATCCAATGACATAGACTATCTGCATCGTAATGTGAATCACTGGCTATTGTGTCCGTATGTAACTCAAGTCGTAAAAGATTATCTCTCATCTCCGGAAAAGGTAAGATATCGAACCATGGATGGTGCGGAACAGACCTTTGTAGATCAGTCGGCCTCAGACTTTTTGGGAGATTGGTTCGAGGTATGTTGTTTGCAGACAGATGACATGAACGAGCGAGCTTAGAATAATAGGGAGATTCACAAGTATCATCTGTCAGGTTTGCTGTGGATAATCCGATAATGTTGCTAATCGTTCCAAGTGCTCTCATAACATTAAATTGCATAATGCATAGGAGGTGATCCCTAGACGGCGAGCGTCCTATGTGGCGCCCAAGCTTCAGTGTATAGAATTGCAAAGATACCGCCGTCGGGTTGGTGTACCAGGGAGCTGTGTCAGGGTGTCCTTCTGTATCTGCTCCATGCTTATCACTGGCATCTTGATCGCACTCCCGAAGTGGAGCAAAATTGAGGTTGCTCCTCTTGCATGACTGCTCTTCAGAGACCAAAATGCCGGTTGGTAGATCAGGGGCAGGTATAACCTTGCTATGAGCAGCTCTCTTCCATATCGTATCGGAGACTTTGAGCATCTGTTTCCTTCGTAGCCGATATGCCCTCTGATTGAGCCGATTTTGCACTCTGCGCCGCACTTTGGGGTCGGTTGTGCCTCTCCATTCATCATCGTCAAAACGCGCTATAGATACAGCATCATATGTATCATGCATCTTGGGTATTTAACGGGTCCTTAATCAGATGATTAGCTGATTGTAATTGTTTTTAGGGGTTCTGCGCAGAAGAGAAGATGAGACATGTCGGGAGACTTGGCCGAACACTTGCTCAGTTAGTACATACATGCGCCTGAACCTCCAAGCGCTAATGATGCCGCTTGCTTACACCTCTATAATCATTGGTGCGGCGAGTCTCCACAATGTTGTCCACAATCTTAGATCGCGAGATGGAGTATCTTAGACAGAATCCTCATCCAATCATAGCTAAAGTGTAAGCTGCTCGCAGACTGAGGCATTCTGATCATTCTGATGAGGGAAACGCCAAACTGGGAGGACGGTGTGGTAGTTTCCCGCAAATTTGTAATCATGGAAATGCCAATGCAAGATTGGCATATATAAGGATCAAGAATCTCTTTGTAGATTCTTCAGAATAAGCCACTATACAAACACCTTATTTACATCGACAATGGTAGCACACACATTTCTCATCACTGGCGCTTCTTCTGGCATTGGCGTGCAAATCGTCTATGCTGCTCTTGCGGCTGGTCATAAAGTGTTAGCCGCTACTCGCAATCCCCAGACAGCGGCCGCCAAATATCCCACAGTCCAGCAGCAAGGCGGGCAATGGGTTGAGATAGATGTTGACAAACGCGAGACAGAAGCTACTGTTGAAAAGCTTGTCAAAGAGAACAGTGTTGATATATTGGTCTGTAATGCTGGATATGCAATGCTAGGTCCTCTTGAGGAGATGAGGTAGGAGACTCATGGTATTCTTTGGTATCAATTTGCCTCTGACTCTTTATGTTAGCATCGATGAATTTGAGGCTCAACTGCAGACAAACACTATTGGAGCGGTGCGCTGCATCAAGGGCGCCTTGCCTCACTTTAGGAAGAATGGCGCGGGAACTATTGTGAATGTCAGCAGTTTGGCTGGCTTCTATGGTGCCCCTGCAACCACCGCCTACACGGCTTCTAAATTCGCTTTGAGCGGCTTCTCAGAAGCTCTGGCGACTGAAGTAGGCATTTTTGGCATCAGAGTCATACTTGTTGAACCAGGCTCTTTCCGGACCAATTTGGTTACCAACCTGGTAGTCCCCGCGCGCAAAATAAATGAGTACGATGGTACTCCTGCCAGAGGGCTTGTGGAGTATCAGCATGCGTCAGATGGCCAGCAGCCAGGAGATCCTATCAAAGGAGGGAAGAAAATAGTAGACGTGGCAACGGATGTAGCAGGCGAGGAATTGGCGAACAAAGGAAAAGGAGAAGTTTTGCGAGTTCTCCTTGGATCCGATTGTTTCGGTGTGGCGAAGCAAAAGCTGAAAAAGGTGGAAGAGCAATTGGATATTACAGAGGAGATTGCCAAGAGCACAGATTTTGTCTAAGATTTGTCTATAGCTTATCTGGATATTCATGGGTGTAAGAAGAAAAATGAGCTCTTTGGTCAAATAAATGTAAAATTATCAGCGTTGAAAAATTTAGTATACATCTCTTGATACGTATAATAAGGCGTGTAATATACTAAAAATGCCTTTCTCAATATACATATCCTAGTGCAAAAGTCACTCACTGTATGGAATGCTGCAGCAGCAGTATATGAGTTCGGAGTTTAGATTGCAAGTGAGTTAATTTACCCAGCGCAAGAGAACGCAACTGAAAACTCCGCCTATAAATGGGTTATGGGTGTCCGCCTCTCGTTATAACGCACAAGGTGGATTACTTGGCTCGGCTCTGCAGGCGGCAGCATTCTTTCTCAGGCCAGACGTCTACTATCCGCTTACTGTTAAGCAAAGAAGCTCACGTCAATGCTCGCGGCGGATAACATGGCAGTGCCCTGAATGCCGCCGTTATCGCACGCATCTGGGACATTGTTCAGATTCTACTCGAAGCTGGTGCGGTGCCTGACTGCCACACGTTGTTGGAGCCTGATGAAAAGTGGCTTCGAAGTGTCTGGAAGACGAAGACGATGGACAAGGTGCTGTGGAGAGATATAGAAAGTTTTGGGAGGTAGAAATGGCAAGACAGGTAGAGAAGGAGAAAGAGAAAGCATAAACCTCTGCCCACACTCTACAAGCATCAATAATCAACTTACATCAAATTAATACCCGTAGAAAGATTTCAGTTTCATCGAATGCATTGTTTACATGAATATGGAAGGAGTTAAAACCATGTATTTAAAGTCGTGGTTTACAGATACTCAGATATCGCTTATCATTCTTGACATCCGAGTACAATTTTCACTATAGTAACTCTATGCAATCCGCCATCAATTCATTTCCTTTTTATCACTAACATAACTTTTCTAGTTTTCAGTAATCAATATGCCACACTTCTTCCCTGGAGATGATACTTCGGCTTATCGTTACCGCCTGCAGCATGTATAACCAATGAGCTGCAACGATGCACGCCCCTTATCTAAACGGTGTTCACAACCTCTATGCACCCTTCTACATATTCCTACCTTCCCCGCATTTGAATGCGACCTGACAAGCGGGATAAAACAGGAAACTGCAATCAATTTGTAAATAATCGACATACATTACTGCTATTACGCGCACTACAATGAACTACCTAGGTAGAACATAACTTTGGTTGCATTTCATTCATGGATCACTTTATATAATACTTGTCCATTCTCATGTCAGAGAAGCTATGTATTTTCACTGTAACTAAGGTACTGAAGTAGTAGACACAAGCGGCTTTGTCAAGCCTTTGCTAAATTAGCTTGAGCCTTAAAAATGGAGGTTATTGACTATGAGAGACAATGCTTTCATTCTACAATGGTATGTGAATGCGTCTCTTGCGGTCCCTCTTTTGTAAATGGTCGCGCGCCCGGAATCGAAGGATTTAATATCCGGACAAAAGTGCATCCTACATTAATCCTATAGAAACTCGCTATCTTAGGCTAAAGCACATATAGATACGTAGGTGGCAACATGTATAATCAGTATTCATGACCAACGTAATAGTTTCATGTCCGGAGATTTTCTTTCTCTTACATTTCTATCTTCAAAATAATCGTCAAAGAGCATCTAACTATGGTTTCGTGGCCAGCTTTCTCGCTGGATAATTTTCAGACCACTCCTGGAGAGCGTTACCAAGGACCACCACGCAATCTAAAACCCATTCGAGAGTACAAAGTCAAGCCAGAGCTACAGCCACCAAATTACGAAATCAAGGGTATAGACCCAGCTTCCAAAATTCTCTTTGTAAATGTAAACATTATAGAGTCGAGCGGTCGCGAACCCTACAAAGGTTCCGTATACATTCAAGGTTCGTGTCTGAGCTTTTTCTCAGCCTATAAAGCAAAAGCGGGAAAGAAAAAAACATATAACACAAACAGGCGAGCGCATCGTATTCGTTGGATCCATCCCTAATGAAATCGAACTAAAGAGGGACCCGAGTGTTAGTGTATGCGATGGAAACGGTCGCACTATCATGTCTGGCCTTGGCGATGCCCATACACATATGACCTGGAACGGTGGAGACATCAGTCAGCTTGGAAAAATGAACCCCGGCGAGCATTTACTGCTGACAGAGGAAAATGCAAAGTGCTACTTGGACTCTGGATATACGATGTGAGCAATTCATCTTCATATACTTCGAATCTGTATTAACTTCGCGCCATTAGGTGCTTTGGCGCTGCGGCTGCGAAAGATCACCTCGACATAGCTGTTCGGGACGCTATCAATGCCGGGTCCATTCCAGGGCCTCGTTCTCTTGCAAACGCCCGCGAGATTGCCAAAACAGATGGTGAACTGAGCCTTGATATCAGCTTCATGGCAGACAACGTTGATGGTGGGTTCCTAAAAAGCCACTGTATCAGGATATCAGATTAACTGAGAACTAGACTTCCGCCGTGTTGTCAAGACCATTGCAGATCTCGGCGCTGATAACATAAAGCTTAGCATGTCGGGGGAGGCTATCACTGAGATTCGTTCCGCCGAAGACTGCTATTATACAGAGGAAGAAACCCGGGTGGCTGTCGAAGAGGCGCATAAGTTGGGCAAACGCGTCTGCTCCCATGCTAGAGCTCGAGACTCTGTGGTCCAGTCCGCCAAGTACGACGTTGACGTTATTTTCCACGCCTCATATACCTGTGATGAAGGTACGGGACAATGGTTAATCTTGAGCTGGACGTGGGTTAATTGCTGATTGCTGCCAATTAGGCATGAAACTGCTCGAGGAGAAGAAAGACTGTATTGTTGTCGCTCCTGCAATCAATTGGCTCTGGGCCACTCTCTATGATGCCGAGCCTTTTGGATATGCTTTCAATGCCGCGGAGGCGATGGGCTATAAAAGAGAGACTGAAATTGCCGTTGCGGCTTTAAGAGAGATGCATCGCCGTGGCATTATTGTTTTGCCAGGAGGGTGAGTTGCCATATTACACTACTTTTTTTGGAAACGGCTGAGCAGTAGCAGGCTCTATGCTAACGTTGTGATGTAGTGACTATGGCTTCGCCTGGTGCCCACATGGTACATATGCACGAGATCTCGTGCATTTCCACAAGCTGCTGGACATGACTACACACGAAAGCATCATAGCTGCTACCGCAGGAGTGGGAGCTTTAATGGGTCGTCCACACGAGCTCGGCAAGATTCAGCCCGGATACTATGCCGATTTAATCTTGGTTGACGGAGATCCCATGAAAGAGCTTGAGATTCTTCAGAATCATGATAAACTCAATGTCATTATGATCAATGGACGCATCCATAAGGCCGGACCAAATGATTTCGTAGAGAACTGAAGTAATAGGAAACATACTCATCGCAGACATTCTTACAACGAACCTGCCAATTCGAGTGCGCCACTGGGCAAAAGATTCAGTCATTGGCCTGCTATATAGCTACTAATGCAAATAAAGTATTCTGATAAAGATCTTTTCATCTGTTGAGAAGTGGGTAACATTGCGTGTCATTTTATATCTCTGTGCTGGCTTGTACATGTCACTCTGTCTTATCGGCACCTTGTCCCCGAAGAGTCGATTGGAGTCAATTTGGAAAACTGTCTACTTCGGCTACTATCAACAAAGACTTGAATTGACTGCTCTAATCGAGACTCTGATTCCTATCTAGGTGACATCACCTCGTGGTTCGATGCTATCATCTTATGGAATGGACTGGTACCCAGTTTGCATGACAAAATTATGTATGTTGGATAATCGACACATCAGAAACACAGCTCACTTATTTGTTTTCGATCACGACAAATCTCATCAGGATGTCGAGTCATTATGCTGTTCCACATAGATATCTATATCTGCATGACATGAGAGTTAAGATATGCTTTCCTTGCATGCCTTTCAGTAATCAACTAATTGACATTGGGAGCCTAGGCGGTATAGACGACGGCCTCAATAAACGGACTTTTCTTAAATCCGATAATTTTTGCAATACCTTGCGGAGCGATTGTCTGGTCTATATCCGAAGCTGAATTTCTTGGGACTTGGTGGCATGACTTATGGAAGTGGGGTGCTGAAATCATGTATGATTATAGTAGATCTATTGCACGTTTACTTCAAAGGGCGAAGTCTGCTGACAACGCAATTGGTTGGGTCTCAAGAATCCTGCTGGATGCTAGGAGTACTATAACTACTACTTACGCCCCTCATATGTCGCGTAGTGACATGGAGCACAAGCACATAGAAGCCCCTTGACTATAAGGATTCTAACACGGGCCATGTTTTTGCTGTCCAATGGGCCAATTGGCCTATTGCTTAGAGTTTTTACTCTGTCAGCATGTGAAGAGAAAACAGCCGTAGATATACAAATCAGCGTATATGCATATATATAAGAGTTGTCAAATTCACATTTTTTTATGAAAATACGTTCCTTGCCTCTTCTAATCCAATGCCGATATTTCTTGTAGAAACACTTCTTGCGCGAGTTGCACTCCCTAATAAAGCATTGCATTAGTGAATGCCGGATCGATCTCCTCTGTGGAGGCGGTCAGCACACTAGTCCGTGTTTGTCTCGTATACCCGATTTGGCAAACGAGGATGGCTGGGGTCATTGCCGAAAACATACTGTGCTTCGTACTTTGTTTGACTGCAGTATTGCATATCGGAGATATATACCTTGAAAGCAGAGAATACTTGCCGAATTGGGCATACGAGCGTACCAAATTCGAAATACGATACGATGCTCTACAGAACTAGAGCCCGTAGTTCGAGAATAGATATAAGGAGGCATCTGCCATAGGAATTCCAAGAACCTTTCTTTCTTCAGCAGCCAGAAACAGATCCATTTAGATACATTTACCCATAAATTCCATTATACATCATGTCTTCAATCAAGAACAAGTCCAACAACCTCCCTGCGGATGCCCCTCCGCCCAAAAGCTTGCTTGCCTATCATCGCCAATTGTCTCCCACGGCTGCGGTCAAAGTCAGTCCCCTCTGCCTTGGAGGCATGGGATTTGGAACAGCATGGGAAGACATTATGGGCAGCTGCGACAAAGAAGCGTCTTTTGAGTTGATGGATTACTTTTATAGCCAAGGAGGCAACTTCATTGATACGTGCGTCCTAGAGACTTGAGCCAATCTACAAGAGAAACTATGCTAACTTTTTACGTGACCAGAGCGGGAAATTACCAGTGCGGAGAGTCCGAAGAAATCATCGGCGAATGGATGAAAGCACGAAACAACCGAGAGGAGATTATTGTAGCCACCAAGTACACGTCTGCTTGGCAGTTGCACAATCAAGATACAAAGATTCAGTCCAACTATGGCGGAAATAACAAGAAGTCTCTGGTGCTATCTATTGAAGCGAGTCTCAAGGCACTGCAAACGTCCTACATTGATCTGGTTAGTTTCTGCCAAGTTTCTTTCTTGAAATGTTTGCCGAAATTGCTGACTTGAGTATCCATTAGTACTATGTCCACACATGGGACTTCACGACCAGCATCCCAGAACTAATGCACTCTCTACACAATCTCGTTGCTGCCGGAAAGATCCTCTATCTAGGCATTTCCAATACTCCAGCATGGGTTGTCGCCAAGGCCAACGAGTACGCTCGTCAGAAGGGATTGACTCAATTCTCTGTCTACCAAGGGCAGTGGAATGCTGCTGAGCGAGAAATCGAGCGCGAGATTGTCCCCATGTGCAACGATGAGGGTATCGCTCTCGCACCCTTTGGTGTCCTGGGAATGGGCTACTTTCGCACCTCGGCCCAACGAGAAGCTGAGAAAGAACAAGAAGCTAGGGAGGGCCGCAAAGTGCCTTTCGTCGATAAGCCCCAGAAGACTGTCATGGCCGATACTCTGGAGAAGTTAGCTTTGGCTCGCGGCACTTCCATTACCAGCATAGCCTTGGCCTGGGCTAGAACCAAAGCTCCATATGTCTTCCCTATTGTGGGTGGTCGCAAGACCGAACACCTCAAGGCCAACATTGAAGCACTGGGCATTGATTTGACAGAGGAGGAGAGGAATGCGATTGAGAGTGCTGTGCCATTCGACTTTGGATACCCTCAGACATTGTTGGGTGGACCAAAGGGCACTCAGCATGCAAAGGATGCTTGGACAACGAAGAGAATGGGCCACTTTGATTGGGTATTGCCACCACAGGTACGTTGATGATAAGCGAACCCCAGGCTGTTCAACCTAGGCTAACACTGCATGTATATAGGCGCCCAAGCCTCATCCTTTGTAAGGTCGCGGCATTTTAAGGACGCACACTATTACATATATGTGTAGCTCGTTTCCGAGGCATCACATCCATACCAGACTACATGTAGCTACATCATATATAGACGGCAGTTGGTGTATTTAGATATCATGCTTGCAGTCGAATCCATTCTTTCACAAGCCCGCGAAGGGTTCATTTACCTCTTGTTGAGTTTACACTACTGTTCCAATGCCTCTTGGCTGATGCAGCACTTATCATACAACGTCTATAATGCAGGTCAATCGGTGCATGTATGTATTTATCCGAACCACTGTAAAAGCACTGTGTCAGCTTTCCTGGTCGCACTTCATCCCGGCTTGGCGCTAGCGAGCTTCCAAGCGGCGGGACTTATTTAAAGCACTATTCATGCTTCTCTCCTTACCGAAGTCATTCGATAGTTGGTATTCTTCTTCTTTTCACCGTATCTTGAAACAATGTCAGATCCTACCAGCGGAAACTTTGGAGTCTTTGCGATCTCAAAGACAGGAGAGAGCACAAAACTCTCGCCTCCTAAAGTAGACAACCATGGGCGTGAACTACGCCAACGAAGACGACATGCCAAGTCCCGTGCTGGGTGTCTGGCATGTAAATCATCCAGAGTCAAGGTACAACTACAAGCGATCGAGTTATCCATATTCATCAAGTTCTTCGGGACGAATGAGGGGCCAAATATTGACTGATAATCGAACAGTGCGACGAGCTGCGACCTGTTTGCGTGAGGTGTTTAGCCAAGAATATACCGTGTCAGTATGAGTTTGGTATCATGTCTATGCTACCAGACCATCCACAGCATCAAGTTCACTGCCACAGATCTGAAAATGGCTATATCTCGAGATCTCTTGGACTAGGTCTTGATATGCCCGTCCTACAGCTCCTGCATCATTTTGATCGCCACACCGCATCGACACTTGCCTTTGGCACTTCTGTTTGGAGAGACAATGTGCTTCCTATAGCGCTACATGTTTGTCAATTCATGCGAATCATGTATACTTTATCAAACACTAATGGCCGCTAGAATGAGATTCTTATGCATGCAGTTTTAATGATATCGGCATCTCACCAGCATAGCATTTCGCCAGATAATAGCACATACATAAAAGCTATGGCTTATCACCTAGATCTCACGCTCTCCGGATTCAGAGGTCTCCTATCACAAGGAACAGAAAACTGCAATCACGATGTAGTTATCGCTTGCTCTCTGCTGCTGGTCCACTACGCTTGGTCCATGCCCTTTTTTGCATACGCAGGCGATAAAATCGATATGAGAAGCGAACCGGACAAGCTACTCAAATTTTCGGCTGGTCTCAAAGCAGTCATTATTACTATGAAAGAAGAAAGAGGATGCTACAGAGGCATTTTCAAGTCTCCCTTGTCAAACGATTCGATCCAAGCATTCCAAGACTGGGAGTCAGCTCTAGGAACCACGTTTGACTTTGGCGAATACTTCTTTGGCGCACGATCAACTGCCTTGGATGGATCCTTCGGATGTTGCAAAGATAATGCATCAGCTGATCCATATGAGCGGCTGGCCCCTCTACTAAACACGATGGATGCTGTATTGAACGGCCATGCCATCCATCACCTAATGGTACAGATACAGATATATACACTTTTCTGGCCTTCTAAAGCCTCAAGGGACTTTGAGAACGAATTTTTCATAAACCGAACCGAAGCATGTATTATCATGCTCACCTTTTATGCCACCGCGTGGTGGCTTCTTTCCGAGAGCGTGTGGTGGGCAAGAAGACGTACAAAAGTCATGTGCGAGTCTATCCTTGAGAGCTTGGATAAAAAGAGTAAGGACAAGAGGTGGGAGGCAAATATTGAACAGATTCGCCAGTATTTTAAGTTCACGCCGAATGGCTCTGGGGGTTGGACAATTGGTGATCCTGGCTACCATCCAGCAACAGAGTATTGAAAACATGTCAGTGGCAATAAGAGAAAAGGGTGCTGTATTATATATCGTAATTGATTATCATCTCTCTTTCCAGCTCACTACATGGGGAAAAATTAAGATACTCATGCAATCAAAAAGTGATTGCGAAAGTATGCCCCGCAAAAAGACAAAAAGATATCGAAGCGACCACGCCAGGAGTCGAACATGGAATCTCTAGAGGAGGTGTAAGAACCGAAATCTAGCGCCTTAGCCATTAGGCCACGCGGCCGGGGTGAGTTATTGATTTCGAGTGATCATCTTGATACTCATAAGCGTATAGAAAAGCAAAAGATTGCGATATACGGGAGTTTCAGCCAGCTGGGATTTCGTTGGCGTGGGCAAAAGATCTAAACGTTGGAAATTTCTGCAAGGCAGGTGCAGAGCAGGCAGGCGCTACGGCTGCCATACATTGCACCTGCTTCATCACCGCGGGTAGCAGAACGGCAAGAGCTAGCGCGTGCCGATTACCTATTCTGGTAATAGAGATCAATCGTGCCCCGTTATGGCAAGTGGCAGAGAAGAATGAATGCGAATACGGTAATGATAGAAAAGAGAAGTGAAAAAAGGATAATCATCTATAATGTCTGATATCTCTAGCCACAGAACCCATCCTCGCCAGTCTCAACCTAATGGTCCTCCACGTTCTCGTCTCTTCCTGGATACATAATGTCTTGAACCCATACGGCCCGGACAAGGTTGACAAAAACAAAGACAAAAATAAGGACCATACAGATGCTCATTCCCGTAGTCACCCACTGCAAACTACCACTCGCCAATTCTTTCCCTATCGAGATTGTTGCCAATGTGAAGCCTGTGTTGGGAAACACCATAGACCACCAGCCCAGATGGAAATATTTCGGTGGCGATGAAACAACAGCAACGACAGCGATGCCGAACCACCAAAAGCTGAGGGCCCAGAGAGAAATGGCCACTAGGACCGCGATGACTCTGATGACGCTTTTCTCGATAGCTAGCTCCTTGATGCTGCCTGGTACTCCGTTTGCCATGCCAATTAAAGCCAAGGCTGTGAACGCTGGGGGACCAACGCACATGAACAGACCAGGGCGATGTTCTCGATTCGGTAGGCCGGATTGAATCAAGCGTCCAATCATGTGGGCATACATGAGTATGGCAACCGACATCCCAAGACCTTGGCATGTTAGCCCGGCGATGAGAATTGGCATAGCGGCGATTTCAGGCTGTGTTGATGCTATGACGGACGCAATTGTCCCGGAGAGCATGATGGGGAAGATTGGCAGAATTAAAGTTGGCATGAAGCTCTGCAGGTTAAGACTATGAACCGCAAAGACATAGCTGTATTGGCCAATAGCAAGTACGGCCGTTAAGGCGACATATATCCAAAAAGCTGCTTGTATAGCCCACTTCAGCCCAACATGGTTGTCCGGTATGGCATATCGTTGGGTACTTGTGATAATGGTGGCGATAGAGAGAAAGAATGTCGGGAAAAAGAAGCCTTCTCGTGGGTGAGTGAGAGAACGGACCATTTCGCCAGTGTGGAACATAAACCGAGCTGCCATGGTCATTGTAACGAGCGAAAATATGATGATGTTCACGATATAGACTACCAAGCCAATAGTTTTCAACCCGTTGAATTGATTCGGCTGTGCAAATATGAGCAAGGATAGCCCTCCTGCGCTCATCGGCAGAGTATACCAAGCCCATGTAAAGTGTTGTAGTCTCTCTCGTATTGAAAGCCTTGGTCTATTCGGATCGTAGATATCAACGGCTGGTTTCTCGGTGGTTTCCTCGACGATTGTGCGATGCTTGTCATGTGTTGGCGTGTTGACGCGAGTTACATCGCCAGAAGGCACCCGTGTGTGGTTGGTGGCACTTGTGTTAGGCCTTGCAGCCTCAGCGTCATCGTCATTGGCGGGAACAAAGAATTCTGAAAGCTCCTGTCCCTCAAATTCGGATTTGCTTGAAGCAGGTAGTTTGTCCCATCTCAGGGACTGTGCGTTATGAGCCATGATGGAGGATGTGGCGTGGCGTCGAACAAGCGGCGCTTTGGAGAAAAAAGTATACTATAGTATATAAAAAGCTCTGTAGAGTCAAAGCATCTCGTTGATGAATTTTGGACAAGAGGAGATTTCATATCTAAATATTCTAGAACCTCCTTCCCAACCCTGTTTGCCATCCGAGAGCAGGCGAAGCAAGGACCCCAGCGACTTCCCGACTTGCATTTCTTGGACAGGTGGCTGTACTGGGAGCTGACGCAGCAAACGGAAAGCCCGGGCGCCATAGTTGGGTATCAAGAGGCAACCTTGTCTCATTTCATCAATCGCCTGGGTGCCAGTGAGTTACATTAGCCACCTCGCTGAAGCCTCATCACGTATCAAACATCTTGGCCAAGATGTAGCATAGCAAAAGTCCCGAGCTTGGCACCGGTACTTGCGCCGCCCTTAAAAGCCGATCACACTAATCGAGTGTCAAAGGGGAGTATTGGCCAATTTGGCTAGCGAGTCAATCTGCCGGTAAACTATCAGGGGTTGATACGATCTTCAAGGGCTAAAATGATGTCCGCATTATGCCGGGCTGTGAGGTGAAAATTCGCCAAGTCTCTTATCATCTTAGCGTAATCACGGCGGAGCAGTCAAAGATAGAGTATAGAGCAGGCTTCTAAATAAATCGACGAATGAAATGGTTGATTGCGTTGTTGCCATGGAAAGAAAACATGGCAGGGCTGTTGAGCAAATGGAAGTAAGTGGAGCTACCTAGCCATTCAAGCACAGGTCTGTAAGATAGCATGCATAAGTATTCCGCGCCATATAAAGTTAAGACTACATATACAAAGTCCAAAGCCTGGTTTAAATGCTTCTATCTAGAAATGACATGTTTCTGTGAAGGTCTCACTGTATATGTCGTCGAAGATGGCTTGACAAACTTACTTCGTTAAGCTTAGAACGCTTGCGCCAGATCTTCAGGATTACCCATCATCTCTAACACGCTCAATACCCACAGAATAAGCTTGGCAGCCAGAGATAAGAATTTTAGCAAGGCCGTATGCGCCTCAAAATAAGTCTTGAAGCGTGAAACGTGGAACATACAGGGGCAGCATAAAGCTTTTTTTAAAGGTTAATTCGGAAGTCCACCGATTCCTTCTTGGGCCGGCATACATGGCACACATCTACAACTAAAATCCTACAGCTCGAATTTCGCTCTGTTTCAACAACTGCGTAGAGAGAGGAAGAGGCATGGCAAAGGGGGGTTAATACACCAAGTGCTTGGGTCTCAAGTGATCGGCTGCTTTGGCTTGGCATCGGTGAGCCGGCCCCCTGTCAATTCTATAAGGAAAATAAAGCCTGTCGGCATCAACAAGTAAAACGACAAAAATGCCTTATTGCTATTTCTTGGCAATGTGTATGGCCACCTTTAAGCACGTGCGCGGAGCCCAACAATGGAGTCGCCGAGTTGTAAATGAGACAGATTACGCGTTGCCTGCTTGTACTGGCAAACCCCAAGAAAGCCCATCAAGACAAGCAAGGATTCTGAGTCGAGGTTTTCATTTGCTGCAGGCTTTAGCGCGATAACGACCAGGTATAACGGGATAACTGAGACAGACATGCACCGCCTCTCTGGATTGTCCACGCATTTGACATGGCCAGGTGCTGGTCTCTACAATATGTTAGGCGCGTTTGTCAGCCGCCCTCTGTTGAGCAAGGAATATCGCACACGTTCGATCTGGCGCTCGCCACGTGCCAAGATATAACGAATGACGGCTATAAAATTTGCGAGGCGCAATCAGGCTCCAAGAAAGCCTAAGAGTCCCTTTCTGAAAGAATGAATGCCATAGATATGCAGATCTAATACCGCTTCACCTGGAGGCTCTAATTTCGGTACAAAGATCTGCATAAAACAGGCCTGTCAATTTTTTCCCTTTCTATAAATTCCTTATCTATAAGCGATATACTCAGCCTCTCGAGAATTGCGAAACACAGAAAAGGGGACCTTTGGATGTGACAGATATTTTATCGCCGCTCTGGGCTCGTATATACGACAGGGCAAACAATTTGATGCCCCAGCTGGAGAAAACAACTATAAAACCTTAGATTCAACCCCATGCTCGTTTGCCGCCCAACTCCTTAGCGATGCTAATTGCTATAAATAAAAAAAAATTTCATCATAAAGCCACAAGGATCTTTACTAGCCCTTCAGCCAAGACTGAATGATCGACAACCACGCGTTTCAAGTACTCATCTCATATTTGCTTCTCGCCCTCAACTTCTCCCCATACGCCCTGAAAATCCACGGAATCGGCGCCATGGCCACCGTCACAAATGCCAAAAGACTCGTGGCCCAGCTCGCGCCGAGGTGCTCATACATTTGCAGCGCAAACAATGGAAAGGCCGCAGAGAGCAAATACCGGCTGAACATCATGGCTCCAGAGGCGGACGCTCCATACAACGGGCCGTAAGCGTCCAGCATAAAGAGTTTGGCGCCTGCATAAACAAGCAGAGAGGATAGCATAACGAGGCCTTGGAAGATGATGGGCACAATCCAGTGGACGTGAAAATGCACCGTCCAGCCAACAATCAAGAGACAAATCGGCAGCATAATACTCCCTATCAGAGCAGACATGAGTCGATTCTCTGACGGCAGCGGTTCGTCGTCCTCATGGCCACGCTGCCACTCCGTCAAGCGCTTTTGATAAGACTGAAGATCAATCAAAACTAGGGGCACTGCTGCAAGCGCCGTGCCGCACATGAGGCCCAAGTACGACAGCGGCTCGCTCTCCACGGACCACCCATAATAGGTCCGGAATATCCAAGGCACAGACATCACAAATGTATACAGCAGGCCAAACAGGAACCCGTTATACACACTGACCAGGGTAACAATCGGCTCGGTAAACAGCATGTGCAGGGGCCTCTGGATCAGCGTCGTGAAGAAGTATCTAAACGCTCGTCCAGGCGAAGTTCGCTGCGACGCCGAGTCTCGTAGTCCCAGCCGCGTAGCACGTCGTTTTAGAATAACCTTCTTGTACGTCTCGCGAGTGAAGCATACAGGGATATAAAACGCCAGCGTGATAAATATAGATATCCACTGCGTCCACTGCCACGGCTTGACGAGGAGGACGAACCCTCCAATCATCGGACCCAGGGCCGCTCCAAAAGACGGCACGGCATAGTATCCCCCCAAACTAACACCTCTGTACCGCGGTGGCGTGAAATCGAGCAGCGTTGCCGGCGCATTATTGATAAGAGGCGAGGCAAACACACCCGCAAAGAACCGGCAAGTCGTCAGTCCGCCTATTGACTTGCTGAAACCAGACCCGAGTAAAAATAGAACAAATACTGGAGTTGATAGCAGGAAGACGGACTTTCGACCATATGTCTCCGAGAGCGGTGCGCCAACCATAGGTCCAAAAGCAAGACCAAGGTTGTACAGCGAAAGGGGCAGGACAGCAACAATGCGGCTGCAGTGAAAGTACGAGGCGACGGTATCCTGGGCGGGCGCATACATGGATCCGGCTATGGTGCCAATCATGGCAAGCATAGTGATGGCAATGGTGCTGAAAATTCGTAGAGACGCAGGAAAATTGCGAGGATTATCGGGATCTTCAGGGCCGGTCCAGTCGTAGGCGGCGTTGATAGTCGGAGGGAGGACCATGTTTGGCTCTTCATATCGACCCTGTTCTTGATCATGGCTCTGCTTCTCGTTTTGATGATATTGATCTGCTGCTACCGGTGCGGTGTCTATAGCAACTCGGGATATCACCACCTCGCTCTGTGGAGACGGCGGTGCCAGTAACGTTGATCGATTCATATTGTCCCGTATGTAATCTGTATTAAAACTAATAATCTCCGGTGAGGACATGGAAACTTCTCATGTATATCCTCATAACAGTTTCTTGTTCTATTTGCAAACTTGTTGAGCATGCAAGCTGGAGACAGGCTTTTCTCACACCAGTCTCATAGCAAGAAGTCTGCTCGAAACTTCACGTCATAGTAGTGGGAGAGGCAGAGAAGAAGTCAAAATCCCGGAAAAGGGAATAAGCGCATATTAAAGCAGAATTCAAACGGTGAGATATGCGCCTTCTCGCATTGTCAATCAACAATACGAACAAAATGCCCCCTCACGCCGATAATTCATCGGGTTCAACTACCGAATTGCCGGCGTGATTATCGTTAGTACCCGCATCCGGGTTCGGCGCCCTAAAATCACCCCGGGCTGGTAGCGGGCCCATCGACAGTTAATTTAGCCGCGAAGGTTGAGTAATTAGGATGACTCAAAGGCATATTGGACACAAGTCTTGCATTCATGTGTCTTGAAAGGAAATCGTGAGAAGTAGAGGATATTCGTCATATTAGGTTATGTATGTATGTATATATAGGTATCAATTGCTATACGTTATCTTGGTATCATATCCGTCCTTGCATCAACAGTAAAAAAGAAAAGTTTAGGCATCCTCGTCGGCAGCCTTGCCAACACCAGGTTGGTTCTGGCCAATATACTCGGACTTCTTGAGCATGTTCCACTTGTCTTCCTCGGAATCGAGATGGCGGAAGCAGAACCAGAAAGCAATACCACCGACAAAGGCAATGCAGGCGACGGTGGTGTAGTTCCAGACCAACAGGGGGTCGTCAGACATGGGAGTGAAGGCCTCGCCAATGGCGGCGGAAACGGCACTCATGAACAGGTTGACACTCATGACCAGAGACTTCATGTTCTCAGGGGCCTTAGAGTAGGCATACTCGTAAGAGGTGACGTTGGCGAAAATCTCGGCAATACCAATCAGGATGTAGGGCAAGCACTGGGCCCATACATTGATGGGGGCGGGAGGGCAGGGCACTTCCTCGCCATCAATGATGGTTGTTCCGTTGGCGTGGTTACCGCAAGGGCTCTTCTTGTAGATGTAGTATTGCATGACGGCAGAGGCAACCATGGAAAGGGCAGCAATCAGGAAACCAGTGGCCATACGCTTGATAGGAGTGAAAGCAATGCCAAGCTTGCGAAGACCAGGGTAGAGCAGGTGATCGATGAGAGGAATCATGATAACAATGGAGATGGGGTTGAGGTTCTGAATAATGTCGTTGGGGACACCATGTCGCTCAAGAGTGCCGGCTTGGATGGTCAGGTTACCAGTCATCTGGTTGTAGGACAAGAAGAAGATGGGGAGGAAGAGGAAGACCTTGCAGGCCATCAGACCACGGCGGACCTCATCAACCCAGGCGTCATCGTAAGTCATCCACTTGGGGCGCTCGCTAATGGCAATGCGCGAGGGACGAGCAAGATCCCAGTTGATCTTGAAGCCCTTGGACTGCTTGCGGGCGTACCAGAACATCTGCAGGAACTTTTGGAGCAGAGAACCAGTGGGAGGAGTGAGCTTGTACTGCTTCTTCTGGCTCCACAGAACGAAGGGAGCAAGAAGGAACATGCCGGTAGGGATGAGGAAAGCCAGCCAGAAACCGACATACTTCTCAACGTAGACCATGCTGATCTGACCGGCAAGAGATCCGATGTTGATGGCGAGGTAGAAGTAGAGGAAGATACGGGTGTTGGTCACTGCAGGGTCAACGATGACACGCTCGCCAGAAGGGAGAACCTTGACACGCATGCGTCTGTCTTCATTCTGGTCGGCAAGTAAAGGAGAGACGTTGGCCTTGAAAAAGCCAGTGCCGGTGCAGAGGGTGATGAGACCGATGATGAAGGCGGCAAAGGCGCTGTCCTTCTTGACAATGACAGCAGGGGCGGCAGCGGCGACGAGGATGACGTGGGCAACGGTAGAGATGGCAATGGCAACGTGGAGAGTCCAGAAACGACCCATACGAGCATCAGCAACCCAGGCACTGTTTTCAAAAGCATTAGCATCGAAGCCATATGGAACGAATTTTGCATAAAGAGACAACTTACCCCAGGAGAGGCATGATGTAGGCCCAGAACTGGTTGAACAAGCTGATACCCATGGCAGCCTTGGGGCCCATTCCCAGAGCGCCAGGAAGACCATCGGCAGAGGGAGCAGCACCAGTCGTGGAACCAGGAGGAAGAGGTCGGTTCACAAAGTTGGTGTACAGGATGGACGATCCATAGTAGGAGAAACGCTCGCAAAGCTCAACAAAGGCAATGGTGTACATGGCCCACTTGATGCTTCCCGAGACACGGCGCAGAGTGCGCAACTCGTCCTCGGTGGGTGTGTCGTCGAATACCTCGTCATCGTTGCTGATAGTGTCAACGTCGACGTTGGCATGTGCCTTTTCGTCAAAAACAGTCTCCTTGTCGTCAAAGCCAGCCGCGCGACGGTCGGCCTCGGCAATGACATCGACCTCAAGGCCGGCAGCGTTGCTCATGGTGAATGTAGTTGAGGCAGGGCCTGATGAGCTTCTGAATGGCGCAAGGTGTCAACCCAGGAGGATGGAGAGGGCAGAACAGACGGGCTACACAGCACAAGGAGGAGGGAGAGAGGGCTCCTCGTCAGGCCGTTCTCGTCGACTTATATAGACGACTCGAGACAAAGCTGCAGACGTCGACAAGCCACACAAACCCCCCAACTTGCCCAACCCGACCCTAGTATCCGCTCCCATGTGCTGACCCAGTCTTGTCCTTCCTCTGCTGTATATCTGGCGTGTGGAGGCGAACCAAGTCGACGCCCAGATATCGACTCGGGCCAAGACCAACAGCCGCCGGAGGGCGATGCTCGAAGCAGCAAGGCCTGTGGCAACTAAACAAAAGATCCCGGACCAGTGCCGGGGCCATCCAGGCAATAGATGGTGTAGGTGGAGGTAGCGAGAAGCGTTGGAGGGTGCGGGCTAGAGCGAAGCGGAGAGGACGCATGGCGAATTGCCCGAATTGACGCTTGCACCACCGTCTCGCAGGCTACTGGCAAGCCACAGCCGCTAATCGAGTTGGTGCTGGATGCGAGGAAACACTGACCGCTCGCGTCCAGGGGTCCTTGTGCTCTACAGTACACCATGTGTGGTTATACAAGTCCTACGCCCTGCCCGATGTACTGTATGTGCTTGGCTGCAACGTTGTTTGGCATCCTTCTTGGCATCTTACGCTGTGGTCACGATCAGGCCTCGTCTTCGGCCATTTACCCATTCGCTGGATACGTCTATTTAGACTCGCACGCATCGTCGGCAGTCGCAATCACAGCATCGTCCACCAGGAACCTGGATCATCCAAATACTAGATATACTATCAAACGCTCAGACTTTCAGCCTCCCGCACCTGTGTCTCGCGAGGCTCTCTCCATGCCCCCTAAACGATCCGGCGACTTGGCACGCCAATGTTGGAGGCGATTGGCGCACAAGCACACGAGAGAGCCATGTGATGGCGGCGGGGCGGCGACCAGATAGCTCTGCTTGGCATCGTTAGCGATGACTCTGACACGAATAATCGCTATCTAGGTATTAGCCGTCGGCGACTCTCTTCATTGTCTCGCATCTATCGTATCTGCCGTATTTGCCGTATCTGCATGTCTAGAATTTCCGCTAAAATAGACGCCTCACAGGGCACCTGCATGCGGCTGTGCGCGATCGTGGCTGCGTCTAAGGAGCCCTTTTTTTAAACAACAAAAATTCTCCTGTAACCTCAACCTTAAGCTTGTTATGCTTTTTTTCCGAGTCCGTCTGCGACACCAAAATCCCACCCAAAACTCGCCGCCACTCACAGCAATAAGCCTGCCCTAGGCTGCTCCAGGCATGGCGCACGGCTCTCGACTCTCGTCTTGGGCGCCACAGTTACAAAAGTCCCTCGCCCGCCGTCTCGGCCAATGGCATCGCGCCCATCTCCTGTTTAAGCTCGCGGCGTTGCAGGGTCGACATGCGAGCGAGCTCCACAGACACGGATCCGCTGCGCTGCTAATTTCAAGTCTAAAGTAAAGCTCAATGATCAAGGTTACTTGAAGATGCTGTGCTGAATCCAGTAGCGCATTCCACATGGAGCTGGTCGCGATTGCGAGTGCCTAGTGTTCCAAGTACAGAGTCCAGTCTCCTCTGCTCCATACTGCAACTGATACCTGCATCGACAATCCAGACCGTCCAGAAGCGATTAGCGCTGCGCGATGTCGCCCTGGACGCCGAGAGCCGCCGAAGCACGCAATTTGGCGTTGCGGCGACGACGATGAAGAGTCATTCGACTCAGGTCGCAGCCTCAGCCGAGAGCAGCTGAGAATCTCGAACGAGCAAAAAGTGTACGGCGTAGAATGGCGGCAGTAAGTGGGAGCGCCATCTGGCTGGGCGGTTCTTTTGTTCCTGAACGCCTCCATTTGCCGCTGGGCCAAGCCCAAGAGCGGGTGGCGTGATGGCGGCGTCCAGCCGATAAGGGAACCATGCTGCTAATCCTCGAATCCTGCAGCTGGCTGCATTGCCGGGGCGTCCCAAGCCGCATGGCCGTCGGTCTAAAGCTGCAAGATGGAAAGCCTTGTCCATGTGGCTTGTGCAAAAGTCCTCTGCCAAGAACCGTCGATACGGTTCCCGATGCAAAGAGCGCTACTCATCGCGATCGAGCCATGTACAGCATACATTCACAGCTTCCAAGATGATGGGATCATGGGCGGTTGCCTCTCCCACCTCTGGCACCAGATGGATGCAACCCTGGGGCTCTCCCCGAGGCCCACAGCACCCAAGTCGTGCCAACCTTCGGTTGCACATGTTTATCTTGGCCGTAATACGGGGATTTGTGGGCCGCTTGCCACTGGCGTTGCTCAGTTACGCAAAACTCTCGTAATAATATCGCTTTTCAGAGCGTTGAGATGGAGATGAAAAGCAATCTGTTAGTCAAGATATTGGGGAATGTCTGGGGAGAAGACCAGTCTGCTGGAGTTTGACGGCGGCACGAACCACGAAATCTTGATTACCCCATACTGTACGGGGTAGACGAGAGCATTGTTAAGGGTACCTTTGTGATCGGTAAACCCAATAAGCTTCAGCTCATAATCAAGGCGATGCTATTGCCACTACATGCTCGTTCTGCCTTTTGCCAAAAGATTCATTCCGCAGTTGGTACATGGGACGGCCAGAGGCGGCTAGTCAAGGCTGTTGGGCGACTTGTTCGAAGGATTTTCTGCGGGATTATAGATCGAGGAGAAAGATCCTGTTTTTGACACTTGCAAGCACACCATCTCGACCTGAAAAGCCCTTCGCCCTTCGCCCTTCGCTACACGTAGCCTGCCTGGTATTCTCCGCTGTTCCAGTCTCATAGGCGCATTATTTCAATGTCCTTTCATCAAAGCAGAATCTCGGACATTTCTTGCTTCTCGGAGTCACCTAACACTTGCACTTAGTCTGCTATACGGAGTGCTCCGTTCTTGTAATTTGCATGTAAGAGTAACATCACCCTGTCGGCGCCTTTCCAAACGAAGCCAAGGGGAAACACGCGCGCGTGCCAAGCCTCCCTAGTACAGCTGCTTTGGGCCAAGTCGCTCGGCCATTTCTCATCCTGTAAGAGCGCCACGAGTTGGAAGCCTTCGACAACACTTCTAGGCATATCCGGGCTGCGCCAGTGAGTGGGGACGGCGCATCCTGGCCGTTGATAATGGGTCGGCTAGCATTGGATGGATGGTCAAAAGCGACGCTGTGCTCAGTTAGATTCCCAAGAGTAGCAAACATCAAGGCAGCTTCGCACCGGGTGGCGGTTTGCCGAACCTTCCAACTTACAATGGGTGGCTTATCAGTGGCCAGTTCCCCAAATCTAGCCATAACTGGGGGAAGATTTGCCAACACCACTACGTTTTAGAGTTGAAGGCTAAAGAAAATCCCGTTTCCATCACCGAGAAAAACTCTGCAGAGGCTGGAGCCGTGTTGGCTGGCAAGCTGATCTGCCCACCAAGCAGCCAGTACAAGCCCTTTGAAATGATATCTTTGCATCGTAAACAACTTGCGCTTATCCCACTTTGTTGTCATCTCCGTTAGCAACGCGCTCGTCTCCACACGCAAGCTCTTGGCAACTGGAGGTGAGCGTTAGTCAAATGTGATACAATGCATGGCACCACACTTTTGGTAGCATTAGCGTCCAGTCGGTAACTTCGCATGCGACCTATAAACTCCGTTTCAATTTGATGTTGAGAGTGAATTGTTATGCGCGATGCAACGATACGGAAGAAATACGTAAACTAGGCACGGAGTGGCTGATGAGCTTGCAAAGCCATGTACATCATTAGTTCGTCGCCAACAAAAGCACCAGTTGGTGGCGGTCTCACAGGCGATTTGGCCTCTTTCTATACGAATGAGAAAGACGATGCCCCTGAGTCAAGCAGTGAGACCGGTGCGGCAAGGCCAGCTTACAGATTGTCTTTGGTCGACATCCAGCGCGCATGTGGGACGGCTTGATATGGGCGAGAGCTCGCTGACGGTAAGACATTTATATACGACATCAACATTGTTGGAAAAGGCGTTTGGGGAAGCTTTGGACAGTTTCTCTAGCCAACTGCTCTCTAGCTATGGCTGAGTACTCTATGCTGTATTTCAGAGTTCAAATAATGCACCTCGCATGATAGCTGATCTCTCCACCGGAAGTTACTCAGAGCACATGCTGCTAACTGAAGAGTTAAAGGCGTAAAGATCGCCCCAATATTCCAAATCCTCCAATTCTTCTTCGGAAAGTTGTACACCGGCAAAGTCTTCTCTATTTGGCGTGCGAAACTGGGAGTGGACGACACCCACATCGTCCCAGTAAAACCAACCAGCGTGCTCCCAGTCGACGATGCCCACAATTTGATCATTCCGCACAATGATATTCGAGGGTTGCAAATCGTTGTGCATGAAGTTTAGCTCTCTTGAATCCCTTTCTGAGCGATCACTAAAGAGGGTCGCGCCTTCGACCGACGAGATATCTCGATTGACCATAGGATTCGAATCGGATACGAGATAAGTTGGCTCTAATACTGTTGAAGGAGGCTTCACGGTGCTAAGTTCGAGTATCATCTTTCGGGTTTGCGTTTTGAAAGAAGCCTTCTGTGTAGGCGAGAGATATGGCCATGCTACATTCAGTGCGACGCCGGGAATTCTTTCCTGGACAATGACGTCCTTTCCTTTGAGCTATGAAACCATCAGTAAAGTATACATCGCTAGCTTTCGAAATGATTTTCACCTTTCCACTAAAAAGGATCCGGGGTACTGGTACAGTCTTGGGAACCAGCTGTATTGCCGCAACCTCATTTTCGTCTGCTATCGAATAGTCCCGAGACGACTCTGCGCCAGCATCTCTCGTTCCCAAGTGGCATGACTTGACGATGATGCTGCCGAGAGCGAACACATCTCGGCCTCCAAACGGATTCTGATACACATAGCATGTCGCATCACACTTTTCGATAACTCCTGTCCAGTACTGCAGTGCTTCTTGCGTGTTTGAGTTGCAGTGTTCCTCTAGTGGTTTAAAGTCTTGTGGGCTGGGATTATAGCGGCCATAGAGGGGGAGATCATAGTAGAGGTCTGTAGGCGGGATTTTGCCCGCTTCGGCTTCGTAAGGATCCATGGTTGCTTGATGAAACAGTTCTCTTCTGCGAGACGGATGAGTCGCCAAACGATGAAGAGGTGAGGAACTGTTGCCTCAGGCAAAAAGCACGATTGCTTTGTCTTCACTTTCTGCTCAGCGAATGGATGAAATATTGCTCTTATTCGTTGGAATAACATTCGTGCGACATTATCATTCGTCAGCTTTTTGGCGGAGAGAGAATTCTTGCCGGATTATTGTGCGACAACTGATTCTCGTCAGGCTCTATGTGTGCGACAATATGTTTTCGTCGGGCTTTGTTTTCGTGTAACAATTATTTTCGTCAGGCTTCTGGGTGCCTAGGCACGGAACTGTTGATTGGGGCAGAGTGTTCTGGTATTCCACGTGGCGGTTTCACGGCCTTCACGCACGTACCACCATACCAAGGTCAATAGGACCTGGGCAGGTAGGTAGGTAGGTATTGGCTTGTACTAACAATTCAACTAAAACTGAATTCTTTGCTACCATAAGTGCGAAGTTTATATTTCGGTATACCCCATTCGCAAATAACCCTGTCGAAATTTATAAGCTTCAATCTTTTTCAAACACCAATACATATATATTTATAAAGGATATTTTACTATTGGTCTTTGTCATTGCACCGCTAAACTTCATAATTCCTCATTTTTTATTTCGTAGGAGGCCTCAGTTACACAAATACTATACCCTAGTCAGGTAGGATTACCGTAGTACGAGATGGATTGAAAGCGTACAACGCAAATCTTGAAGAAACAGCAGCATGCGCCTTCTCAAAGGCATCATCGTGATACCACAGATATATAGGTAGGCAGCAATAGGCTAAACGCATATACTTGTATGGAATTGCTAGTGCTGAGTTCTTGGCAGAGGAATATCAAAGTTATAAAGGTCCCAGATGGCCAAGCTCCTTAATTGTTTATACACAGCAAGCATTCCATTACTTTCTCCTCGAGCTCAAATCTAATCTGAGTTATTCGATATTTACTCTCCCCTTTGAACAATAGCGCCACCATTTTATTATGGCTGTACGTTGCTCCGCCTGCGGTCAATGGATCCCAACAAGGGGTGGCCAGCACAACTGCCCAGGCGGCCCTAGGCGAAGGAGATAAGAGCGCTCGCTCCAAATTTCGTAAAAACTTCGCCAAGTTAGTTTGCAATGAACCTTGACATGATTTGGTTAGAATCTAATTCTCATACCAGTGGCGTCTCGGGAACGCGGGCTCCTTTGGATAAGCCGGGAGCATAACGGCAGAGCGAAAAGACGAACACACAGAGCAAGAATGTGTATGTGAGAGTGATGAGTCACAAAACAGAAAACAAAACATAATTTGGCTATATCTAGAAAGACTTACACCTAATTTGTTTTTTCTTTTTTTTCGGACTCCTATACCGTAATTTAACCAAACTTTGTTTAACTACCGAACCCGCTTTGTTGGTGAATATTTAATTGCACGCCGGGTAGATGTTATTTCGGTAACTGACTTGAAGTCTTTATCATACATGTATACAGCAAATAAAGTCAGATTGATAGGTAAGTAGCTGTCAACTCTGTTGAAAGAACATGTAACTCGAAATGATTGCTAGTGAGGACTGCGGTCCCGCTTTGATAAGATGCAACCCTTGTACATGCATACATACTTCAAACAGACGGAAAAAGGACTTGGAGCTGGAGCTTCGCTGCTAATGTGGAAACCTTGCTTAGTGCCACACACCTTTTCCGTTATCTTCGGCGGACTTTGGCACGAGAAGCCGAAACACCTGCTTCGGCTCCTAGTAGCTCTTTCCGAAACACAATGGACTTTGCTTTGGGTATGTATCGCCGGATTCAGTCAAAATGTCATTAGACTGCGGGTTTGATAGAATTCTCCTCCACTGACAGCTACAATTGGTCAAACGATTGCCAAGATTAACTACCTAGTGAAATACTTTATAAGGAAGTTATCGCAGTCAAATCGTTCGACGTAGCAAGGTACTTAATCCGGCATCGATAATCTTTGTAAATCTCAGCTGCTGCTATATCTCCTCATCGCCTAACCAATTCTTTTGGAGCCTTGCTCGTCCATCAGTGGAGTGACGGGCAAGAATCGGGCCTTTGCGCCTGTGATCATCGACATGTAATACGATGGTTGCCCAATTTGCGCTGGTGCCACCACTTCTACATCGAATCGTTCGAATAGGGCTGATACGACTTTGTACACCACCATCTCGGCCAAGTTCTTGCCCGGACAAGTCCTTGGGCCACCGCCCCAGTTGAGGCTGTAGCGTTCCATGAGGCGCACGTCAAGAGCGTCGCCACTGAGCCATCGGTCCGGGTTGTAGGCCTCTGGGTCTGAGCCTGTCACAATGTTTGCATTTCGATGCAACGCCGCTGGGTTGCACCCGACTGTCGTGCCTCCCGGGATGAAGTGCCCATGGATATACAGGCCGTTATCAGGAACTCGGCGAGAGAGAGACATTGTCAAGGCTGGATGAAGGCGCATGGCCTCTCTTGAAGCGGCGCGTGTATACTGCAACTGGGCTGCGCCCGCATACGATAATGGATCATTGGCGCCCCGGATTTCTTCTGTTACTTTCTTTTGTACGTCGTTGTGTGTGCCAATCATTGTGAAGATGGCTGTCAAAGTCGAAGCCATCGTGTCATGCCCCGCGCCAAAATTCGTCATTGCCATTTTTCGAAGATAAACTTCCGTGAATTCAGGCTTATCTTTGTGGAGTTGAATGAGGTCTGCCATTAGATCTAACCGGCGATCTTTATGAGCTTTTGGGTTCATGGCAGTTTTAATCCTTCGAGATATACGCTTTCCCACGTCCTAAGTCCCTAAGTAGGTCAAAAATTGCTCCAGGAAAACGGAGTAGCTGCGGTTATACTGACAGGAAAGAATGATCGAAAGTTGGGTGGAGCAGTGTATTTCAAGTTCCAGACATCTCTGAATACCCATTCGAATAAGTTTGTACACATCGTCAATTTGGTCATTGTCGGAAACAGGCCCATGACACTCTTCCTCCTCCAAGCAAGATAGCTGTGGCCACTTGATCCCCAGTCAGTTCCAGCTTTGAGCAGTCCCGGAGACCAAGATAGTACGCAAGCTCCAAGGCACTCGACGGCAATGATGTGCATCCACTCTTTCAAGTCTATTTCGGCGCCATCCAAATCCTTCAGTCGCATAATAACTTGCTTAATAACATCGTTGACTGCTGCTTCGAATTTCGTCACATTGGCTGTTTGATAGACTCGCCCAATCAGCCGTCTTTGGAGACGATAGCGCTTCATGTCCCTCTCGGAGAGTAAATCTAAGCTGTCAACAAAGTGAGGGCGCAAGAGGCGATCTATTTTTGGCATGATTAAGCTGGTTGCCACTGAAAATTGGATGGTTAGTAAACAGTCATCATCATGCTCAACACATCAACATACAGTAGAAATCACTCTTGTCGTATCCTTTAGTGCTACCTATAATGAGTTTAAGTGTCAATAAGTCAAACAATTCCATCATGAAAGACATCAACTCACTGTAGATCTTGTCAAAGGCCTCCATGCTGTTGAACCAAAGTTCATCAGGGCCAACTCGCACGATTTCGCCATACTTCTGGTGCAGTGTGCATGCCAATTCGAACATGCCACCATTTCGCGCATGATATGCATGCCATACATTAGAGATGGCAGCTATTTTTGGGCCCGGCACTCGCGCAAGAGGATGAAATAACAGCCTATACAAGGCAATTGATGCGAGGCTCAGAAGTAGCAAACAAATGCCATAGCCTAGAACGCAAGCGGCGCTCCATATTAACCCGGATACCATGTCTTTTCACAAAACATCTAGCTGGTCGCTAGCAGAACTCGAAAACAAGAAAATAATAGTCGCAGCTATTCATGGCTTCATCTTTTCTTGGGCCGCTGTGCAGCGTTACACTTTTTGCAGTTGATAACAAGTGGAAAAGTTGTGGAAAGCCCGATCATTATATCGAGAGTTATTCGCTAACAGGGTCTGACCTAAGCGCTCTAGGGTAGGTTATTTTCATGCACGCAGATACTCCAACCAAGTGTAGATCTTTCATTATATTGCAACAACAACGCTGCTGATAGATGCAGAATCAAAAGATTTGTACTGATTGGTATATTTTGTATCTTTTTGAAACCTATTTCTTTTTTGGTATACGTGGTATAGATGCAAAAAAAAAATTTGGGAGAACGGGAGACAATTTAAGCAAGAACTCGTAATGATGCAGATAAAGCCAAACACTAGAAACGATAATTTCAGTTATACACGTACATACAATCATTATTACCAGTACGCGTATATTTAAGTAATATGAATAGTTCCTAGATCACTGCTCTAGCGGCATGTTCTAGATTTAGAGAAGACGTGTATTGGGCTACATGTATTCAATTCCTTCTAGACCCTTGTCCCTAAATGTAAGCTGCAAAATTTGAGACTGACAGTACTTTGTACTCGTATATTAATTAAATGTGTACTGATAAAATCTAAGATAATCGCTATGTAATATATGCTGTATGAGCCTTGCATGCTTTTAGAATTTGAGAAAAGGGTATCTCAGCAACTGTTCTAAATGATCCGTTTTTGCGCCATCTCATTTCATCATCATGGGGCAGTTTCTTCCTTCTTCTTCTGTTTACGCTCCTCCTTTGCCCTCTTTTCAGCCCGCCACTTGATGCCTCTCGCCATGATCAGACACAATGGTAAAGCACAAACTATATAAATGAGGCCAATCATTGTAAAGGACCAGCCCACGCCAATGGCATCCATCAGAGGAACAATTGCCGCACTGGCTCCGGCTCCAACTAAGCATCGAGTGAAGTTGTTCGCAGCAGTAGCAGTACCAGCTTTTCCAGGGTGGAGGTCGACGAGCAACGTGTTGGACGTATTGTTGAAGCCAATCATGCCCATGCCCATCAGACAACTGACGATGCAGGGAACTGAGACGTGAACCACTCGTTCCATGGCCCAGCCCCAGCCGATGAGAGAAAGACCGCTGACGCCAAGCAGTGGGAGTCCAATCTCCAGCCGCACGCGCTCAATGGGAAAGTTGGAAAGATCTTGTTGGCGGCTACGATCGAGAGGTATGCCTAGCTTCTGGCAGTGCCGTTTATAATTCCAGTTGATTCCGGGTCCGACAATCATGGCGGCAAGAACCGAGCCGGCTGCCAATGGCAAGTACATCAATCCCACTGTAATTTCATCGTATCCATACGAGTTTGCAAATAGAGTGGGCATCGCAGTGGCAATGCAGTAAAAGCCGGCAAAAATGAGACTGCTGGTGCCAAGGAGGAGCCCGGTCTCCTTCTCCAGTAGCATGAGAAGAGAGCCCAGGATATTAGGCGGTTTGAACTTGAAGGCATTTTTGGCCGGAGGGGCCTTGCGATCCTTGTTATGCCGTGCTGTCAAGATCTGCCAGCCTGATCTGTAAAGTGGTGGTGGATAGATGGAACCATCTCCAACGATGTGACGGCAGGTTTCGGGCAGAAACATGACAATGAGGAAAAGAGTAACTCCCGCGAATATGGTCAGAAACCAAAAGATGGCTCTCCATCCGAGCGTTTGAGAGAGGGCCCCTCCAATGATGGGACCGAGCGCCGGGGCGAGAACTATAGGCACAACAGTATAGCCGACATATTGGCCTCGCTCGGCAGACGTGATGACATCTGCCACGACGGCCATGCACAGTGCCACGGTGGTGCTTGAACCAGCAGACTGGAGACATCGAAGACCAAGAATAGCCCCGTAGCTTGGAGCAAGAGCAAGGCCAATGTTAGCGCCAATGTATATCACGAAACAGATGATATAGGCCGGTCGTCTTCCACCACTGTCCGCCAGCGACCCCAGGAACATGGGAGTAATGCCCTGAAAAATCATATAAGTCGTAATAGTAAGATTAATTTGGGTGCTCGAAACATGAAGCTCATCCGATAGCTGTGTCAACGCCGGCAGGTAGATCTGAGCTGATATAGGTGAGAAGAAAGCCGTGGAGGCGACTCCAAGAGCCAGCATTCGTTTCTGCCATGTTGTGAATATCGAGTATGGAGGCGGTACTGTCTCTACAACCGGTACGGGCTGTTTCTCCGCATCGGCGAGTTCAAGTGAGAGCCGATTCTTCTCCGAATCTGAGCCGCTTTTTGTGTCTTCTGGCGAGGAACTCATGATGTTGATGAGGATGCCGGAAATCTCATCCTTTTGTGAAGTTTTGAGAGATAGAAGATAGAAAGCTTGGCTTTTATGAAAGAATCTTAAACCGGGAATAAGAAGGAGGTTAAAAGTGAAAAAAATCAAGCTCCTCCTACTCCACGCAGGGCCGCATTATCGGTCAGTGGTCGGCAACAATGAGCCGTGAAGATCTCGCCGGGCTCGGTGCCGAAATCGGCAAATTTGGCTGGGGCGCCTGAAATAGGTAATATATCACGGTGTAACGCCTTTCTTGGTCATTTTGCGGTCAACAACGTGAAAGGGGGTTTTCGCGTTCTCGAGAGGCTCTTCAAATCTGATGATTATACACCTGCGATGCTGATCTGGTAGGATGCAAGCTGCGGTATGGGCCAATTACAGTTGGTGTTTTGAGATTTAACGTCCTAGTATTCCAATCGTGCCTTGCTTAGCTCCTTAGCTCCTTAGATTGCTCTACACTTGGCGAAACAGCTCTTGTAGTCTGTATCATTGAATCTTCTGATACACAATATTGTTTATTTATTCGCATACTTTATTTTCTTTCTCTCGGCTTGGTTCTGTCGACTCCACAGTTGTAATCGCGAATGTAGGCGCCGCGGTACTTTGCTCCGGTACCTGGTGCGCCACGGCGTGGAAAAACCCCACACTCCGGGGCATAGCAGCGATGTGGCCACTCAGAGCATGTCTTGATGGACGAGTAGCTCCAGTTGCCAGTCTCTCCTGCATAGGGGATAAGGATTGAGCTCTAGCTTTACATGCTTCTGTCGCTGCCAAGATGGTGAGTAGGGAGAACGACAGTCCATTGTTGTTTGTGTTTCCCCTTTTGCTAAACAACTGCGCTAGAACGTCGCATACAATACGGTGCTGCGGCAGAGCAAGGCCATCCGCAGTGACCTCTCCAATGTTCAGGCCAAGAATTCACCCACGCCCGCCGAGATTGGCAGCGTCTCAGTGTCCCTGACATCATTCGCAAAATCGCTCGACGAATACCACAACCTTGCGCGCCAGGAAATCGTCCCGAAGAAGCAAGAGGAGGCGCTTGAGCGGGTCAAGAAATTTCGCGAGGAGCTCTCCCAGTTCCGCGGCGACCTCGATGGCCTGAAGAAGGCGCGAGAGGAAGCGCAGCACAACCACAACCGATCAGAGCTGTTGGGGAGAAGACCGTACAATGCAACGCCAGAAAATCCATATGCCAATGCTCCCGCAACGGCGACGCATTCCACCTTTCAGCCTCGGCATCACAGCTCAAACAGCACCTCGATGACGACCGGCGCTGGCGATGAGTTCCGCGAGGCGCATGCTTTCCGAGAACAAAACTTCTTCAGTAACACGAATCACGCCTTGGACGATTTCATCGCCAGAGGACAGGCTGTGCTGGGGGACTTGGGCCAGCAGCGAGAAACGCTGAAGAACACGCAAAAGCGGCTATACGGCGTGGCCAATACCCTGGGCATTAGTGGTGATACTATTCGCATGGTCGAGCGCCGTGCCCGAGAGGACAAGTGGATATTCATCGCAGGAGTGATTGTATTTTTCTTCTTTTGCTGGCTAGTTCTTCACTATTTACGGTAAACGGGGACGCGGCATGTGGGAAAGGCGCCAAGGCGTTGGGTATGGATATCAAAAAATGGCCATTCATAACTTCTTTGAGAGCTATCAAGAGATGATGATAAAATTTCCCTCTTCCTTCCTTCAAGTCATACGATGCGCTAGCCGTCTTCCTCGCCATCGAGATTGCTAAGTGCTATCGTGAAGAGGACGTCTTTGGTCGTTTGGACCTCGACAATCTTTGTTTCTGGGAGAACGTGGTTGCTGGTGCTGAGCTTGCCGCCCATCTGCGTTTCCCAGTCAGTCACGTCCCACTCCAGGCCTTTGGTTGTGATGTGGCTCGGCTCCTTGAGCGGGATGATTCCGACGTGCTTGCCAAACACCTCTTCCTCGCCGTCCTCTTTGACCTGGATGCGATGCGTGCCGGTCTTGAGGAGGAACGTCAAGCTGGACCCTGAGAGAAGATAGATGCGGCCATCTGCATACGCGGGGTCGGATTGGAAGAGGTAAAGGTGGTGGAGCTGGCTGAGGCCTTGGTCGATTCGCCCGCCGATGCCGCCTAGGGCGATGATATCGGTCCCGGGAGGCTGCGTCTTGCGGATCCAAGTGATGGCCTTGCCAAAGTCGGTGGAGTATTGGTCGGCATCTTTGATGATTTGAGCAGGGGTGTGCTGCGAGGTGTAAAAGTTGTGAACCGATGGTCTCAACGAATCAAGATCACCGATGATGACTTGTAGGTTTGACTACAGATTTGTTAGATGCTATACGTGTCACGATAGTCTCAATAGTGTGAAGTGAGAAAAGAAAGAAAGCAAATGACAGAACAGAGTTGATGATTTCATGCCGTGATATGCGATGATGGCGATACTCACAAATTTGCCTTGAAATGACGAGAGCTCGTGAAGACGATTGGCGCCTCCATCAGCCGCTATGCGGAGAGACGCTGTGTCAAGGGTCAGCTGTTGGTTCCGTCAAGCTTGTTTTGGAGGGGCAGCAAATCTTCTTGGGCGGGCATACAATTTCTCCAGAGCTTGCGCAGGTTGCTGCCATTCTTGAGAGGCTGATTGAGCACCAGGAGAGCAAAATTCTGGCTTTGCTGGTCCTGCAGAAACCTGTTAGGCTGCCACTCGAAGACCGAGTCCATGGTGAACTGCTGCCGATGCGCGAGTATCGAAGTAGATTTGGCGAGGGAGAAGAGAAGAAGAAGGACGGCTGTCTCTCAGAGGAGGCGCATCACTTTTCTTGAAGAAGGGGGGCTATTTATGAAGGGCAAAACGAGAAAGCTTAAGAGAGGAAGAAAAAGATGGTCACTGCTTTTTTCTCTCCTCGATTTTTCAGTCAATAAAAGTGCTCGCGCGACCTGGAATTTCAGCTCAGCTCAGCTCGTAAAGGAGCTTGTGATGGCCTGTGATCTCAGTCCAAGCTCACAATTCACATCCTGCCGTGACCAGGCTCCCCTTGTATCGTTACACCAAAACTCAGGGCTGCAGGTACCAGTGCCCTTTGCTGCGGGCACTTAAAGTTCGGTTGCAGCAGCGTGGATAAACGTCGGAGCGAGGCCAGATGCTGGGGAGATCTGGATGCATTGCTCGATTGCTGATCTTTTTGTTTTGTTAATTAAACATGCATTGCAATGCAATAATAACTGTCATCCAGGCCATGTATTGTGCTGCTGGGACAGCCTGCTCTCATCACATTTTGAGTAATCAGCATCATTCGATTGAGGGGCTGAGCGCACTGGTGCAGAGAGTATGTCGGACTATTATGCGAAATAAATATCTTGTTCCCCGTCAATCGAGAGATTCTAATACTATGCAAGTTTGTTATTCATGGAACATTGCTACAATTGCAGGCATATTCGGGCAATGCTTGATGCTGAAGCGTAAAGAGCTTCTTCCTCTCAATACTGTCTGAATGATGGGTAATTGTCGGCTAAATGAGCTCATTTTGGCGCAAGCACTCTACGGAATTGGAGATGGGCTCGCGCTGACCAATCTTGGCGATTTTGTCATGCAGGCCATCTTTTTTTCTCTTCGATTACATATCCGGCCGCAGGCATTGCTGCTCTTCCCCTCGCCCACTAACCTCTTCTTTTCCCCCCATTGATTCTTCTATCCGTCTCTTTATATAATAATCCATCCACAATGTATCGTACAGCACTAAGAAACGCCTCACGGCCTGCTGCCAGCACTTTGCGCACCGCCGCTATCCGGACGGCCCCTCGGCGATTTGCCTCAACTGCTCCCGCGGATAGGTCTCGATCATGGAAGAGCTCTGCACTTCGATGGGGTTTGGCGGTTGCCGGTGTTTACTACTACAACACAAGCTCCGTATTCGCGGATGAGGTCGAGGGTATGAAGCTTTTCCTATCTTAGCTCTATCAATGTGTAAGTCTTTGGATCTTTTACTGACTTCTGACGCAGCTCACGCCCTGCCTATTCCCGCCCCGTATACCGAAAACGAGCTGCCCACCGTCGATGCATTGATCGAGAAGAAGCGAAAGGATGTTAGCCCCAAGACTGCCGAGCCGGCTCCCGCCAAGACAGAGGCCGTCAAGACCGACGACAAGTCAGAGGCTCCCGCCCAGAGCGCTGTTGGCTTTGGCGGATCTCCCGATGCCCTGGAAGAGGAGGCTAGCCAGGAGGGAGCCTTCAATCCCGAAACTGGAGAAATCAACTGGGACTGCCCCTGCCTGGGTGGCATGGCGCATGGTCCTTGCGGAGAGGAGTTCAAGACTGCCTTTAGCTGCTTTGTCTACTCTACCGAGGAGCCCAAGGGCATGGACTGCATTGACAAGTTCCAGTATGAGCCCGGATGATAGACGCTCTCGTTGAGGACATTTGACTGACAATTTGATAGGGGCATGCAAGAGTGTTTCCGACAGTACCCCGAAATTTACGGCTCCGAGCTTGAAGACGAAGAAGCTGAGGCCGAAGCTGGTGACGCCGCGGCTGCTGCTGCTCCCGCCGCCAAGGCTGCACCCTCCGAAGTCCCCGCCGCACCCGTTGATGAAGAAGACCGACAACAACTCCGAGAAGCCAAACTTGCTCAGGGCCGTCACTCTGATGCCGCTGAGACAGACAACCTGCCTGGCGTCAAGCTGGTGGAGAGCTCAGTCCCCAGAGTAGCCAGCGAACAGAAGGAGCAGAAATAAATAAAGTAATGTGAGAAGAAGCAAATATGAAGAGAACAAAAATACGGTGTTTAAAGACATAGATGGAGCAATAAAACAAAGGCAGCCGGTGGATTCAATGGGGATTGCCTTTGATGTATATTACGTGGTCTGTATGATACGGGGCCCAGGTGTGTTCCAATACTGCATGGATGGTGCGCAAAAAGGAAGCCATGGGAAGGTAGACGGCTTGCATCTATATTGTATTAACACATGAACAATTGATGATATTCAACTTCTCAAACTGCTGTTACAATACGCTGACGCTGAGAAAAACGCCCAAAACTACCTAGCCTAGCATGTGCTGAAATCCTATCTACGGTATGCAAAAATGTCAAAATGATTCAAGAAACCAACCATCAAAAACAACGCCTTTCCACCAATCCAAAGTCCAACCTATCCCAAAATTTCCATATTGCTCTGCTGATACCCGTTACGCCGTAGTGCTCACACCATTTAGCCCAGGCTCAGCTATAGACTCAGCCACAGGCACCGGCGCCGGCACAGAAACCGGCACAGGTTCAAGAACAGGCACAGGCTGAGGAACGACCATGGGCTCTAGCTCGGGTACAAGCTCAGGCTCAGGCGCGGGCTCTTGCTTGGGTTCGTGAAACTTTAGCATGAGATACTGCGGCTCGCCCAGTCTTGAGCCCTCGGCAACCTGCTTGAATCCCAGCGACTTATACAACTGCTGGCCCAGGGAAGATGAGATGATCCAAATGCCTTTCTTGTCTTCGTCTGCCCTGTCCATGCCCCATCGCGTCATCATCTTGCCGATGCCGATGCCTCGATAGTCGCCGTCTACTGAGATGGAGTTGAGGGCTATATGTAACTTGCAGTTAGAAATGGCGTCCTTTGAATCTCTGTATAATATATGCATGTACTCACTCCACATATTATGCCTATTCTCCCCCTTGAACGCATCTCTGGACTTTTCAATCAACTCCATGACTTCATCATTGGCATCCAGCAAGGCCCCCTTGTCCAGAAACGGCGGCAGCCTCGCCAGCCTCAACTCCATATCCTTGGCCTTCTCCTCCGCAGTCTTGCCCTCCTCCTCCTCGTACTCGCCCGCGCCCGCTGCCGGCGCCGACCACTCGGCGCATCCGACGATAATCTCCCCTTCCTCGGGCGCGTCCGCCAGCACGACGAGATGGTGCAGGTTCGCATCCGCCAGGCCCCTGCGCATCCGCAAGATGTTCCACTCCAGCTGGTCCTGGATGCCGGGCTTGATGCGCAGGCGTTTGGGGAACATGGCCTTGTGCATGGGGCTGTCGAGGAAGGCGGCGACGTCGAGGGCGGCCATGGCGGGGACGTCTTCGTCGCGGGCGTGGCGGAGGCGGAGGGAGTGCATGGCGCTGTTGAGGCTGGATCTGGATCTGAGAGGCAGCATGGGAGATGATGGTGATGGTGAGATACGGAAATTATTCGGGGTGTTTTCTTGGTGGAAAGCAGCGGCAGATGGAAGAGAAGCTCCTCGCTTTATATAAGGCTTGCTCGGTATCTTCGGCACACGTTTGCTGGCTACGAACTGCTGTTTGAAGTTTTATACTTGGTCTTTCTCTTTTATCTTCCTATTCTCAGTCGAGAGAGTAAAGTGTGTCTGGCAAAGGGATCTTCTATCCATGGTGAGCGGCATTGTAAGAGGGAGGATGAGATGAGATGAGAAAGCTGCCGCGTGGGATGCTGACGATGACGTCACGGCGCCGATAAGGAAGAGCGCCTCGTTATTACTTGGTCAGATATGAAACACAGAGCTACAGGTTGGTCGACTTTCTTCCTCAGCACGATTGCTAAGGCTTCTTCACGTGGTTTGAAACTAACTAGGGCAAGAAACTGGTTCGCGTACGATCTTCTAGGATGAGTATAGTCTGCTATATTCACACGACTTGAGTAAAAAAATAGAGGCACTTGCTTCTGTTTTTAAAGGATGTTACTCACGGCGCTAACCTAAGCTTTGCTTTGGGTTTATAATAAAGTAAGAAACCTGGCACTAACAACGAGCTCTCACTAAGAGAGTTTACTTGATTACATAATCGCCGGCTCGCGTAGCTCAGTTGGTTAGAGCTTCGTACTAATACTTCAGCTTCAGCTGAAATCTTGGTAATGCGGAGGCCGCAGGTTCAAGCCCTGCCGTGAGCAATGTTTTTTTTTGCACTTTTGCATGGATTTTATCTTCTTATTCATATCTACCTACTGATTGATGGTGGGTGACTCGTATATGAGTGTGTACATATCTGTACTTGGCAGATGTCGTTGCGAATATCGAATATCGAGTTTCGAGGTGATTTATGTAGAGTTTTAACTTTAGTATGGCTTTTTTATGCCATTAAAATTTCAAAAAACAAATTTCCCCAATTTAGCTTTAGGGTAGCTCTTTGTTATCTATATGTGAGATGAGAAGACCCACATTGTACAGCGATGGAGAAATATTAAATGCTTTTTGACAAGAGTATATTGATGCTGAATACATATTTGCAATAGCATAATCACAGCAAGAAACTGATCATCTGTGACAATGCGGCAATTGGTTGAGAAGTCTAGGTGCGCCTGGGATATCTTCACTAGCCAGCTTCAAAAATCACGCAGTCGTTACCAGTGCAAATCAGAAGAAAAAAAAAAGGATGGATATATGTTCATTGTTTTATATATTTAACGGCCGTAATAACAATCGTGGCCACAATTAGGCCTGAGAAAGAATCAACTGCCAAGCTCTCCCTTAACCCAGACGCCTAATCCTTGACAAAAGAAAATAAGATGGAGTTCAACCGTGATTAAACAAGTAACGCAAATCGCCCGCCATATTTCTTCATTTCGTTAGGGAGAAGACAAATCAATCTTTCCTGCCCCTGTACAGGTAGCGACCTAGCACCGCCTCCACGGCACCAACAGCAGCCAGCACGCCAACGCCAACGCCAATGTGCTTCAAGTCCAGCCTGCTCCTCTCATACAGGCCCCACGCGCGGTAGCCCAGGAAGCCGCTAACTCCCACGATGCCCGCCACGTTGGCAATGGCAATGGCCGTGACGCTGCCGTCGGAGAGCTGCGAGAACTTGCGCGTGATCCACGAGTCGGCCTGCTTGGCCTTGCTAGTGGCCTTGCGCTTGGCGCCCTCTTTGGAGCGCGCGGCCTCCTCCTCACGGCGGATGCGCTCGGCCTGCGTCTCGGTCTTGATGTCCTGCTCGAGGAAGTCTGAGTGGACGGTGTGCACGCTAGGCAGATCGACGTCGATGAGAGACGCGGTGGAAGCAGACTCGTTGGGGATGATTTCGGGCATTTGAGGGGCAGCGGCCTATGACATCATTAGCAACTGGCTGGGCCTCGGATGTTTTTTTTCTTCTTCTTTCTCAGGTGAATTGGCAAATCTTTTCATTGCGAATGGCGGCTGGAGAAGGAATTGAAGAAATTGTGTGTGTCTTACCTCTTCCGGGCTCTGTCTGGCACCCTGTGCAGTAACGTCGGCGTAGGACACTGTTCCCCATTGTTAGAAGACATCGCGAAATCTCACTCCAAGTTTGGAGGGGTAGCATGCTGACTCACTGTTGACGGTTTGGTTGATCAATTGAAGAGAAGATGGAAATGTAAAAAATCACAGCACTCGAGGTGGAAAGTGGTGAAATCTGGCGATGGTGGTAATTGACAAGATGTCGATTTTAGCTCTTCTCAGATTAGAAAGGGAAGGATGGCAGCGACCTTAAGTATCAGACTAAATTCTCGCAGAAAGCAGACAAAATAGCACCAGATGCATGTGACGCAAACGCAAAGTCACGCCAAAAAAATGGAAACCGAGCCAAACTAGCAGTCTCAAAGCTGTGATGATGACGTATGCGGCTCGACCCCGGCCGCGGTCGAAGCGATCCAAAAGCCTGTGCTGTGCCTTTTCGTGCGTGTTCGTGCCTTGGCAGGGAACAAAAACCGGCGTCGATTACATCAATCCCGGCAAGATTGGGGCTGTTTCTACGGGGTTCTACAGGAACAGGGGTTGGTTATGCATGTTTTAGATGGGAGAGGAACAAGCCACCACGGCGGTGCTGGTCACGTAACTAAAACAGAGCCGGGGCCCAGGTGCAGAGAAGTGAAATGACTTGCTTGAGACAAACTGCGGGAGTCTCCTCTCTCCACTTGTCGCATTCATTACTCGCCGAACCACGTTTGAAAATATCGCAATGCAGCTCGCGAGTGATGAGCCCCTGCAATGGTTCGCAGATCGATTGGATCGCGAGTAGTGAATAAAAAAACAAACTATGCACCTAGTGGTATGATTCGAATAAGCCTGCTGTACGGAGTTACTACGACCACATCGCAGAGTGTGATTCTCTCCACAGCACGAGCACAAACCAGCTGCAGCAGTCTTCACGCGGACGCAGTTATGCCATCTCATCTTTTCTGTTTTCGTGGGTTTTATTTTTTGTCTTTTCCAAATTGAAATGGCTTGATACAAAAGAGCTATTCATCCATCCAAAAATGACCGAAAGTCTCCTCTAGACTCCCACACATCGTCGACCAAGAGAAAAAAGAGAGCTTGTAAGCTTTGAAAGGTAGGTATATATGAGTTGAAACAAAAGAGAAGGAGAGAAAAAGGTGTTGTGGTAAAAGGAAGAGAAAAAGAAAAAAAGCTATAGGCAAGAAGTTGCTCATGAGAACAGTTTAAAAAGATGAATGCAAAAACACAACGCCATTCGGCCGTCCGCACTGATATAACGACAACAATCTTCGCTGAAATGCAATTGTGATTCCAACGCCGCGAATCGGGGTATCATGGTATCTCTCAACACGCATCTCCAAATGAGTCTCGACACCATCACGCCGCTAAAAGTTTGAAAAAACTCCAACAGTATTTAATAATACTGCGTCCGGTCTTTCGTACACAAAATTCGTCTTCATGGGGGTATCTCTAAAGTCGCTCTCTTCTATGTCTTGTTGCCACGGAGCTTTTTGATCCAGTGCTGCCGCAGATGCAGGGGCATCTTGCAAAACACCATGGCCTTGTGCTCGTCGCTCAAAACAGTCTCCGATATGTTAATCTTCAGATCCGCATCCTCGTCGGCAAAGTCCTTGAAGAGCAAGTCGACCGCCTCTTCCCGCCACATACGCGACCTGCTTGCCTTGGAAAAATAGTCGAGCGCTTCTATAATCGTCTGAAGATGGGCCGCCTGGGTTTCCGGACGGGATCGAGGGTCAGGGGTCGATTTCGTCCCCGCGGCTGGGAGAGAAGAGGCCAACAGGGGCGTAGGCACGCTTGCGCTTGAGCCACTGTCATCTCGATGGGACAGTCGACGGCGCTTTTCTGGCGAGTTTGGTAGTGCTGATTGCGACAGAGCTGGCCCAGATGCTGGCGAGGAAAAGTCTACAGAATGCAACGAAGCCATGGGCGAGGGTCGCTTCCGGCTTTGGGGCTGTGAGTCTTCAGGAGGCGTGAGAACCGTTGCCTGCGCAGCGGTCAGGTTGCGTGGCACAGAGGGCGCGGTGGTGGGACGCTGGTGAGTGCCTGATGCGGATGAGAGAGCTATAACTGGTGCTTGATTCTGGGAGCTCTTCTGCGGCGACGGTGGTGGTTGGCTCTGTCCATCGGAAGATTCTTGTACCAGGAGCGGCGTCGAGTCGGCCTGCAGGTTCAAAACGCCGGTGCCCGGCATCTCCGTGTCGTCGCACGGCTGGCCGTCGGTCTTCCGCCGGGGCTTCATGATCCTCTTGGGCGCACCGCCGGACCCAACAACGTCCGGGTACAGCACCTCCATGTATTCTTCGTGGTCGAACGGCCTCCCCCTGAGGGCTCGCGACAGAGGCTCGCGCTAAGTCAAATCAGCAAACCGGCGTCGGCGAACAGGCGTGTGGGCAAAAGCTAACCTCGATGTGCGCTTTCCATGCCTCCTCGGTCGCCGTCACAGTCCTCGTCTGGGCGTTGTACAGAAACTCCGGGTCCTCTCGCAGGCCTCGCCACAGCCGGAACCGCTTGCGGGCATTGTCGCTCTTGTTGATCAGGTGGCTTTTGGCCGGGTAGGCGCCGTGATGCTCCTGCAGGGCCTGGGCGGCGCGCTCCCACGCCTCGGCCTTGAAGCTGCTGTTCTCCCGCATGCCCAGCTGCACGCTCTCGCACAGGCTGCGGAAGAAGGTGGTCTCGTAGGCGGGCGTCCAGCTAAACCTCGGCGCCCGGCGGTCGCGATCGACGCGGCCGGGCCCTTGAGCGTCGCCGGCGAGATCGATGTCGTCTTCAGACATGGCGGGATCAGATCAGCTCGGTCCCCAGAGGCCGGGCGGCGGGCATCCGTCCCGGAGCACGGTCACGGTCAGTCACGGGGTGTTCGAGGCTCGCAGGCAAGCACGGCGAGGCCCCCCTATCGGCAGGCCCGTGTGAAGCAGCGGCTCGTGGGATATAAGCTGTGTGTTCTGCTGTCGGGATTTTCGAGCAGAGCACGGCAGAGCTCAGAGTCGGGTCGAGGCGCCTGCTCTGCTGGGTCAGCGCCAGCCAGAATCGTGACCTGCCGCATACGGGCCGGTGGGGTGGTCGGGTTTGGGTCCCTTGGCGTCCACATCGCTCTGCGCAAAAGGGGTCACGTGGGCGTCCCTTTTTCGCCGGCGCTGCTCGCCCGTCTCCATCGCGCCGTGGCCGCCACGTACGCGGGACTCACAGCGGCTGGCATGCACCGAAGTTACACGGTCAATGGAGGCGTGCTGAGGCTGCAGATTTGACTGACGCTGGTCATCGCCTGATGCGCTGGACGGGACTGGACTGGACGGGACTGTATTGGACGGGGGGCGATTATTTTCTGCTTGCATGTCGCCTCGGGGCTGCATGTACATGTACAGGCACCGGGCATAGCACTTTGGCGCCTATAAGGGTCCGCGCCGGCTGCATGTGCGCTGCTGCGGCTTTTTGACAAGCGCTAATCCGCTGACATCATGGAGCAGCTGGCCACATGATTTGCGCTGCGACACCGCCAGTCCAGCGGCAGAGCGTACTATGTATGTTGTTTTCGACATACGACCCTGGCACCGCCCAAGTACCGGGTACGAAACATTTGTGAGCATTTACGATGGGTCGTCCATCTGGCATCATGGATAGGTATTACACGTATAGGACAGGTAAGAGGTATTGTCGATGCCGGCTTGGCTGACTCGTTACACGACATCCACGTACTTAACTACATGTACATGCTGCAATAAAGGGCAAGGTCACAACATGTGTGTATACTAGTATTCTTTTAAGATACATGTGTTATTCTCAATCTCAGCCCAGCATCAATGACTCTTTGCACGGCTGGTCCGGTTTAATTAACATTACGAATGATGAAAAAGCTTAGGCACGCACATGTCCCTACATGTTTCGTCAGCTCAGAGTGGGCTCTCTCCGAGGACCCTGTTTCCCCATCAAATCTCGATCTGAATCGAACAGAGTGCCTGATAGAGGGCAGAACATTCATCTCGCTTTATGCGTACAACTCCTAAATCATGGCCACTGCGCCGGCAACAATCATTGCGGCCGTGACCAGTGGCTTCGCAGCAGCCGCAGCGGCAGTGCTCAGCGAAGTCGAGGCGCGCGTAGTCGACGCAGGTCTACCAGATGCCGCGGTGTTCGAGCTTACAGCCCCAGTAGTCGTGGGCAATGCAGATGATGTCGTCTGTGGAGTTGTCGTCTCCGCTGCTTCCGTGGTCTGAGTCGCGTTTGTCGTCTTTGGAGTTGTGGCAGCGGTAGCAGAAGTAGACTTATCCGCGGTTGTGGCTGTAGCCGCTGCAGACGCGGACGAAGAAGCGGCGGAGCAAAACTGAATAGCTGCGGGGAGGACCTTGTCTAAGTTATTGATACAAAATTGTCAGTTTGTTTACGCCATAATGCTGTTTACTTCTTATTTGCTCGAAAAAGTGGAATCTTAATCTTACCGACGGCAACATCGTTGCCACAGTCTTTGAGAACACACGCAAGTCCCGAGTTGTAGATGGCCTCGTAGTTGCTCTGTACACAGAAGCAGACTGCATCAGTTGTTGAGCAATCGGTCGCTTGCTTAGTCGCCTCTTCAAGACAGTCTATGGAGCACTTTGGAAAATAATCTGATAGACTCTGTGCCGCTACGACGCCAGCCACGGAGGCGGCAACGAGGAGTGTAGTTGTCTTCATGACGGCGGGTTGAAGCGAACGTTGCCTAGGAAAAGAGCTCCCAGTAAATGAGTTATCCAAACGAAAGCAAACGAAAAGAAAAAGGGGTAAAACAGATAGCTTAATGTCGAGAAAGGGTTTTCAGTTCCTTCAACCCAATGGTGGGGAGGCAACATAAATGTAGTTCAGAGACTCTTCTAAATCGCGCGTCAAAGCGTCCAGACCAAGGGCCTTTTGCCATCAATATCCGGTCTCTTTTGTCTAGAACTCAGGTCGCCAGCTAGCCTTACCTGTTTAAACAAGTACTAAAGCGCAGCCAAGCCTCGTTCCAGCCGAAATCGCTCGTATGCTTTTACTACTCTAATTTCACATGCGGTTTGGTTCAGTTCAATACTGCATATTCGCCGAGCCGTCAGGCCTTGGCAACCACCCGGCCTC